TAATAAAAACGTTGTCTTCATTTTTGCTTCTTCTTCTTCTTTTTGCATAGTATTATTTGTTTTAAGTAACTATGTTGGAGAAACTAATAAAGAACAGAGAGTCTTTTACGCTTTTCTGTGGGGTTGTTTGTTTTGTTTTCAGTGGATGAATAATTAGATTCAGAAAATCAGTTTCATTCAATTATTTAAGTAACCTGATTTACTTTGGATGCCTAAATCAAATTGATGAATCAATTTGAAGTCTTTTCATTTCCAATTGTATTCAGAAAGTCAATCAGACTGTCTGTGAACTGACTCTGACTGGAAGCTTTGTACAGACCTAGTTAGAATACATCCTGTCATTACTGTTCTGTATCTGAACAACAGCCAATGATAGCAGTTTGGCAATTTCTACTGTGTAAATGCTGTTTATTTTACTACGAATGCTGTAGTGATGGACAATGTTCCTCACAAACATACTTTCAGTATCTTAAGATTCATACACTTTAGGACCATAACTGCCAAAAGGCACTTAAAACATTATTCACTCACCTGAACCTTAATCTGAGCCATTTGATAATCCAAATACTCTAGTCTACCACAAGAAATAGGTTGATTGTATTGTTACATTTTAACCTGTTCCCCACTGTGTAAAATAAAAGTTCTATGAAAATGACAGAATCTAAACCCCAATAAAAATGAAGGTGGAAAAGTATGGGAGAGCATGCACAAAGAAAAAAGAGTTTCTTCTCAAAATGAAATGTATATTTTAACACAAAGGTCATGTTATGCTAATCAGAGTTAAGATAAAGTGGAGGTTTTGAATTGTGGGGAAATGTGTTTTCAGAAGGAATGAACATTCAACCTCCACAGGAAGAAACACTTATTTAAACAAACTGAATATTAATGCATTAGATTGCAGTCATTGTCAAATATTTTATGAGCGTTACTAAATTATTTAGTATCAACTACTGAATTATTACCTAATTGCAAAATATTTGATCCGAATGTCTGTTGAAGTACCGTATTTGCCGGCGTATAAGACGACTGGGCGTATAAGACGAGCCCCCAACATTTCCACTCAAAATATAGAGTTTGTTATATACTCGCCGTATAAGACGACCCCCCCCCCCACCACCACTTGGAGGCATGTTTTTCAGGGCAAAAAAGTCATCTTATACGCCGGCAAATACAGTAATGACATCTAGGAAGCAGACAAGAAGGAAACAAGTGTTCCCGAGCAGTTTTTCTCAACCTCAGCAACTTTAAGGTGTCTGAACTTCAATTCCCAGCATGCAGGCTGGGGAATTCTGGGAGCTGAAGTCCAGACATCTTAATCTTGCTAAGGATGAGAAGCACTAAGATAGAAAAGGCGGGGAGAAGAAGATGATTCAGCCTGTGTGCTTTATGCAGAATATATGATATGCTGGGCAACAAGGAAAGGAAGGAGTGATTCAGTGGAAACAACAAGGAACTTGGATAAGCCTTGTAGGATTATGGAAAGAATGTTAAAGTTTCCTTAGAATTGTAGCAACTCTATTTTCCAGTCTTCATAAGGCTTCCTAACATTTAAGTCTTCATAACGTTTAAGAATCGCCGTTGAATTCAGTGCTTTTGCTGAAACTCACATGTAGTTCTACCTACTAAAAGGGCAATCAATGGCTGGAATATATTTGAATCCTCTGCATGTTAAGTGGGGTTTGGTATAATAGGGTTAACTATGATTTCTGTAGTAAAAGTTTCTGTGAGAGGCATTGCCAAAAGTATGGAAGTAGTGACTCTGTTACCATGCCAGTGAGTCATACAAGCCTGAAAACTACGAGTCTTGGATTGGCACTTTAATACAAACTTACTCGTACTTCGCACCCATTTAAAACATGCACCGAAGACGCCCCTCCCAATGAGCAACGCTCCAAAGCGCCTCGGAGTTGAAGCTCTGCGGAATTCCGCTAAACGCTTTTCCTGTCAGAAACCGGTGCGAACTTGCGCGAAACCCACAGAGGCTTTAGAGACCGAACTTCGCGGTCTCGCAAGTGGGCTTCCCCGGCTCAAGCGGGTCTCTTGCCTTAGCTCGACTGGCCGGGAAAGGAGCTACTGACCTGGCATTATGGCGGCAAGGCAGGAAGCGTCTTTGTCCCGTGGCTGGCGAGCCCTGCCTTCCGCGCTGCCTCGGGGGCGTCTCTCGAGCCTTCCGAGAAGCTAGGAGGCCCCCGGCTGCGCGGCTCGGCTTTCCTGCAAGCCTACCAGAAGCTGCGGAGGAGGAAGTGGGATAGGAGCCGCCGCCCGGCCAGCAAGTTTCTTTCCTCCCCGCTTGTCCTCCCAAGACCTGGCCTGGGGATTGGAAAAGCCGAGTCGAAACTCTCGCATTCCGCCTCGCGGCTGGCTCTGAAGCATTGCTGTTTTGGATCGAGAGAGAGAGAGAGAGAGAGAGAGAGAGAAAGAAACGGAATTCTGTTCCTTCTTTAAGTTTGTTTAAGGCTTGTTTAGGAGACAAACTATGTACCGTATTTGCCGGCGTATAAGATGAGCCCCCAACATTTCCACTCAAAATATAGAGTTTGTTATATACTCGCCGTATAAGACGACCCCCCCACTTGGAGGCATGTTTTTCAGGGCAAAAAAGTCGTCTTATACGCCGGCAAATACGGTAAGTGCTTTTAATAAATGTGGAAGTTCAAATGGCTACAGTATCTCACCATGTGCTTTTTAAAGGCTGCTCTTTAATTCTGGAGGTTAAGTGGTCACCAAGATTTTACTTACTTGAAATGATGTGCAAAATATTCCAAACTTGAAACAATTCAGGCTAAGAGTGGCTGGTTGAGCTTGGAAACGGAAAACAGAACTTGGCTATTTTGAGTCATATCATTTTGAGTGTTCTAACTGGTCCAGATGCTGTAGTTAATTAGTTTTCTAGCTTGTGATTAGATTGAATAGATTTGGGTGTATCGCTTCATTGGCAAATGGACTCAAAGCTTTATAAGGCTTTGGAAACTGTCTCCAGATTCTGAGCACAGATAAAGAGGCCATTTTGACTTCCGCCAGTAAGAATAGAGAATCTCTTATCAGGAAAGCCTCCCTCCCTGGATTCTCAAGATAGAAAAGAAGTTATTTCTCTTTTTCTTGTAATGTGTTGGATAATCTCTCTCAAAATCCTATTAAAAATGAAAAAAAATATCTTTGGTTTTGGTTCAGAAGTGAGAAAGGTTTCTTCTAATAGATTCTAAACTATCGGTTAACTGATTTTTTTCTTACTACAGATTGTTGGTCAGCAAGGATTGCCTTTCTTGCAGTTTGAACTTCTAATATTCTAAATTTGTTACAACAGGGCATAGAACACTTAAGCCATTCTGAATTTTCTCTCATGAGATCTCAGGCAACACAAAATGTTTTGCTTGAAATACTTGAAGCAGGACTCTTTGTTCCAGGCTCAAATTAAAACACATGTTCCATTTTACTCCCTAATTAATTAATTAATTAATTTAATTCCTCAGGGAATTAAATTACTGGTGTTATCATCTGGTTATTCTTAAATTCTTGAAATTTATTTGAAGGAAGGAATTTCCATGATATAAAACTAACCACAAATCATGGGAAACATAGCAAACTAAATTAAATGAAAATATGGTTTATTTTACACAAATGAAGAGTCAAGGTGATAAAACTGAGGAGGGAAAAATGCAGAAAGAAAAGGAAGACACTAATAAAACAAATGAAGGGAAATGGATTCACTCACAATCATAAGAGCTCATTGCATTCATAAAACATGTTACCCTCCAGTGAAAAATGCACTATCCAAATTATCTTCCTGTTTCAATGCAAGGTTATATTTATATAATGCATAAGAATGCATAAGAAAAGGAATAGTTTTTATAAATAGCTTTAAAAGGTTATTTTCTCCTTGATGGTTCAAAACTATAAAGGAAACAAAATAAAAATATAGAAATTATGAATTTAATTTGTATAGTTTTGTTTTCATTTTTGTATTCTGATCTTTACATTTAAAGCTAAATGATTTTTAATAAGATTACAATTGATTCTCAGAGTATTAAAAAAATTGAGGCCAACAAATGCCTATATTCACGGCAGACCTGCACAGCATGTTACCATCAAACCTAGTTGGCTTGTTAATTGCTAGATAACTGTTCCTTTCTCTTATCCAGAACTTTACAAAAAACCAGGTATCCTCGCATGCCTGGCTAACTGGAAATTTAGCTTAATAGATCACCATCTCTGCAAGCCTTATATAGATCAATATATTTTTGCCTTCACAAAAACAATGGAAACTGGATATGTTTTTTGTATTTGCAGTACATGATACAGTGACTATAAAACAAAAATTCTTCCATGTGTTTCATCCGCAAATTTAGATTTGCCAATATACTCTGCAGCATTGCAAATTATTGGAACGATTATTTTTAAAAAAATTAAATGTGCTTTATTTTTCATCAAAGAAGTTTGTAAGAATGTATTTTAATGCATCATACAAATGCTTTGTTTATCAAATTATAATAAGCCCTGGCTTGCATTCTGTGAGTTGAAAATGTTAAATGGAGGCAAGCAAATCCTGTGTTAATTCATAGAATACTCCAAGCAGCCCTGGCAATCCTTTTTAAAAATACAAATTTTGTGGAAAGTGCCAGTTATTTGGAGGGAAGGGAAACCTTTAGAAATGATCAAATATTGGTATACTTTGAAGTCATATAGATAAAATGCCAATTATAATTCAATTAAATGATCATTAAAATCATATTAAAAGCATGTAAAAACCACAATTCAGTTTTTAAAAGGAACTATTGATCAAGAATATACAGTAGTTAGTGATTTTTTTTAATAACTGAACATTAAAATTTGTCATCTCATTTGAGAGAAACTCAAGTTAGTGCAAAAGAGCATATATATAAAAACAAACTAACCTGTGACCCAGCTAGGTTCTTATTATGCCCATATAAAGGATATAACAAAAGGCTATTCTAAAAAAAACTAGTAGGAAATTAGACCAGCATGCAGATATTCTCTAAGCATTACTTGACATCACATAATAAGGCAACGCCACGTAATATCCAATGTTCAGGTGGTTGGGTAGTCCGTAGGTCCACTGCAGCAATGTAATTCAAATCTGTCCGAAGTGGTTTTTTGTAGATTGGACATGAATACAGGCGTGAATCTTTTGAGGCTAAGAAGAGGCAAACAAGAAAAGTTCATTTTTATAAGGTCATGAAGTAATTCAAATAAAATTTCAATCAACATAGCTTAAGTCAAAATGTTAAACAAGAGTTTAAACATAATAAGGAGCCATGGTGGTGCAGTGGTTGTAGTATTGCAGACTAATTCTGCTGACTGCTAACTGCCAGCAGTTCAGCAAGCAGTTCAATTCTCAAAAGCTCAAAGTTAACTCAGCCTTCCATCTTTCCAAGGTTGATAAAATGAGGATCCAGATTGTTGGGGGCAATATGCTGACTCTGTAAACTGTTTAGAGAGAGCTGTAAAGCACTTGTAGCAGTATATAAGTCTAAGTGCTATTGCTAAGTTATCAAATCTTAGCTCAACCAAGGATAAGTTGTGAAAACCACTTATAAAAAGATATTTAGAAAGATAAAAGGAACTAAGAGAATTTCTAATACATTGGCAATACAGAATAGGGGGGGGGCCTGAAAGACCTGAAATGGAACATTATATATGAGGAATCTTAATAGATATTTTTACTGCACCAAATTTATGACATGCAGCATCTTTGCATGTTACAAGTGAAAGGGCATAGCAAGGACAGAAATGCTTTCCAATATGCTGATTTCCTTAGTGAATAAGCAATAAAATATACATAAAAATATTTTTTTAAAGTATTGCGTAACTAGATTTTAATCAAAAGGTTTCTACATTTGAGTGAATAAAAACCATTTAAACCTCCATGTCACTTCTTCCACCACTTCAACAGTTTCACTTCACAGGGAAGAAAGCATCAGACAATAACCTGAACACTCCAGGGAGACAGACAGAAAAGCAGATGCTCCTTCAGGAAATTGTACATCAAAGCAGATGGGAGTTTAAAAATTAAAAGAAGCATGTTGAATTGGGTCCAGCATAATATGCGCAGGCATAATATGTTCTTCAAGTAGCTCAACTCTAGTCATCCTTTCAGGATAATTAAAATTTCTAGGCCATTTTAAAAAAGAAACATTTATATTACAATACAGTAATTCAGTTGGGAGAGAACCGGAATGTGGATAATTATTGCCAGGATATCTTTGGAAAGTTAATTATCAGTGTATCAGACCAAGGGCTCATCCTGTTGTGGCCCACCATGGGCCAGTGGAGCTGGCGGCAGACGCAGACAGTGAGGTGGCTGGGGAGGAACATGAGTCCGGGAGTGCTCTGCGTCGGAGGCAGAGATGGGGCCAGGGCCATCTGACAGTCATCAACTACCTTTGGAATTGGAGTTCAGTCAGGCAGAAGAACAGCTGGAACCAGTTCCCAATGTGTGCATGCGCAGAGCTGCTAAGACAAGGGAACAGGGAACAAGGGTCAACATGGGAGTAAAGGCTCAGGTGACTGGTGAATGGCCCCTCCCATGGGGAATAAAGAGGAGCGAAGATATAGGCCTGGCAACTCTCCCAGCCTGATAAAGGTCTGTAATTGTGAAATCTCATGAAAGACTGTTTGCTGGGACTTTGCTGGAAACGAATTCCCTTTAACCTAAATAAAAGGGGTTTTATAAGGATGAGGAGCTGCTTCATGATCTTGGGATGCCTAAATCAGAACACATCCATACTGCAATCATAATATCTTTTCATTGATGGGAGAAAAGTGTTCCAACAAGAGAAAAAATGCTATTTCCCAACCTATTTTTTATCACACCTCTGAGAGGCCAATAATGTTGCTTCCCTCAAAGAAAGTAATATGGATTACTTTCAGGACAGGAATTGGTTTATTCTTCCAAGTCAGATAATTGACCTCCAGTTATTCCTCCTCAACACACTGGATTGTCTAGGTGTGTGGTCTTCTGTCACAATAGCTGGGAAAACACTACCTTCTGCCAGAACTCAATGAACTGATCTATGAGACAGAAGCCACCTTGTTCATCATTAAGTAATTGACATGTTGGGTCTATGGAGATTCTCCATTGTTCAGGTCACAGTTGTCCCAAAGGTGTTTTTCCAAAAGGCAACGGGACTTCCTTGGTATTTTCTTTGAAAACGTTTCACTTCTCATCCAATAAACATTCAGAAGTTTCCTTTTGGGAAAGCATCTCTGGGACAATTGACATACTGTGTCTTTCCAACTGAGTGAATGAACTCTAAGTTGATAACAGATGTTGGAATCAGTACGCTCACTTGGGCCTAGAGTGGCGATGAAGGGATGCAAACTATCAATGTTATTTGGAACAAACCCAGTTCCCTGAAACACAAGTGGACCCCACTCCCCCTATCAATGTTGCCAATTACCAAGTCTCACCAGTATAGTCAATGGTAATGAATAATGAAAGTTACAATCAGTATCTGGAGAGTCATGCATTATCCAGCACCACACCCAATTTAGAGAGACTTTGGTTCTGTTAGACTAGAATATCATTGAACATGCCAAAAAAAAACAACAACCCACAATCACTTTGGAAGCACTGACCTATCTTGTAATAGTCATTTTTCTTACTTTCTACAATTACTCTTCAAATGTCAGTCCAATTACCTCATTTCTAGATGAGGTCCTTATCTGGATATTATTGATACTTCAACCAATATTCTTTGACAACAGTTCCTGCAGTTTTATGTAGATTTTACCACAGGTCCCCTTAGGAGACATAACACTCATGCCATGGAGATCATCAATATCACCCCAAAAGCATTTCTCATAATTGTCTTAAGTAGGAGCAAGACTATGGCAAGTTTTCCTAAAAGTCTCTGACATGAAAAGTCTTGTGAGAAGCAACTCATCTAATTTCTTTCCTGGCACTGATCATCCATAGGATGGCAATTTTAAATGCTATCCTTAGAATCCAAGTGGAATAAGACCCCTTCATATTTTGGGTCATGCAGGATATTCTCAACTGAGAAGGGCATTTATACAGGCCTACAATATAGAAACCCCTTCATATACCTGCAAATCAGCTTCATAGGTACTGCGTACAGGCAGTCCTTGACTAACAACTACAATTGAGCCCAACATTTCTGATGCTAAGTGAAACACTTGTTAAGGGAACTCTGCCCTATTTTACAGCCTTTCTTGCCATTGTTGTTAAGTGAATCAATGCTGTTGTTAAATTAGTGAATGAATCTGGTTTCCTCACTGACTTTGCTATAAGAAGGTTGCAAAAGGTGATCACAGGACCTGGGGACACTGCAACCAACATAAATATGAATCCGTTGCCAAGCATCTGAATTTTGATCATGAGGATGCTACAATGGAGGTAAGTGTGAAAATCTGCCATAAGTCACTTTTTTGGTGTCATTGTAACTTTGAATGATCACTAAATGAACTGTTACAAGTAGAGGACTCCCTGTACAGTTGTCCAGAAGACATTTCGCTTCTCATCCAAAAAATTTGAAGAAGAAGCTCTGAAGAGCTTAAGAAGCTTCTTGGGTGAGAAGTGAAATGTCTTCAAAGAAAAAAAAAACCAGAAAGTCCAGTTGCCTCTTGAAAAAGCACCTTTGGGACAACCATGATTGAGAATCTCCACAGACATTTCCCTATACAGTTATCTCTTACCAAAGGTAAACAAACAGATTTAACCAAAACTGTTTGTGTCACAAAGAACTGAAAGAAAAAAGGCAGGACTACCAAGCTTGAGGTTTTATTGCAGTTGCATTTTTTCTTGTGGGACTTTATTTCTTGGGGTGGGGGAAGCTGTCTGTTTTCAGGTCAACATTCCGAACCAAATTTCAGAAAGCAGAGCGACAGTCTGTCCCTAGCCCACTGTTGATTCTGACAGCTGTTTCCCCCCCTTCGCCGATCCCAAAGCTTCTTCCCTTCACTTCTGAAGTTGCACTTTCAGTCTTTTGACTTGTTTGCTCAAGCAGATCCAAACTCTATACATTCAGCTGTCAACAAGAACACCTACATACCAAGTAACAACTTGTAGCCTTGTTTGAAAAAATCCTCACAAGTGTAAAAAGCTGGGTGTTAGCTGATTGACATTTTTTAAAAAAATCAATAATTTAAGTGGAAAGAAATCCTTTGCCACTGTGTTGATTTTTCCCAAATGAACAAGTATGTTTTTTATTCTCTTCACTCATAGGTTTCATTTGGTTTTACACTGCAGGTCTGATCTAGCATAAGATGAAGTAGAAATGCATATTTTATTATAGTCTCCTCTTTATGGGCTAACACACTTCAAGCCGCTTCTGAGCATGCAGTAGGTGGGGGGAAAGCAGCATACTTATATACTTATTATTTAGCCACTTTCATTCTGCCTAGAATATATCCATTGCAAATCAATCCTAAAGCTGGCAAAAGGAAATGGTAAAGTAGTTTCTATTGATCTGTTTAAATATAGGTATTGTTCCTATTGAGAAAAGAAATAAAAATGCGGGATTCAATAAACTGAGTTCTGCGTCCCTGTGCATCTCTTTTTTTTTCTCTATTGAACAAGTGTATTCTAAACTTAATGACAATTCAAGGCTAAAGGGGCACATGAATATAGCAGAACCAGCTTAACTTTGAAGCTGGACCTGGTGAAGGGTTTTTTAACATGCTTTTGTTCATAGAATAACTTAGGATCACTTGCAGAATCCAAGAACTGTGCCAATAAACCTTGTTTCTGTGCTTCCAAATGGTGATTATGGCTTAGCAGAGATTGTTTCAAATCAAACTCACACCTTCTTTTGAACACAATTCACCATTTTCTAACACAATGTTATATTTTCTTAATATCCATAAAGCACATAGGTTAGCATTGCTGTTGCTAGGAATACAAAAATGAATATACTTTGCATACTATTGAGTAATACATATTCAATAAGGAGTATTTTAATATCTTTGCTCCCAAAAGAGCAACTAGAAATAAAGCTTTTTGGGACCCTATATAAAAAAATGGCAGCATTTGTTCTTCAGGGACTGACAAGCAAGCATTTTCATTTAAAATCCAAACATTTTTTTTCATGCCACAAAACCTGTAGAATCCATAGGTTTTTTAAAACTGTGAAATACTCTCACTTAAACTGTGAAATACTGTATCATCAAAATCACATTCAATTTAATACTCACTGTTGTTTTCTGCATATATCCTTATTACAGGCATTGGTTCAAAGAGCACTTTAGGTTTAGATTCAATGAGTTTCATGTTCCTTTTGTCCCATCCAGCTCCTTCTAGGTAGAGGCCATATACATAGACTCCTTCAGAAGGAGGAGTTGAGATGTCATCATTCATCCACTTTGTGACCTCACTGCACAGAACCACACTGTCAAGTGCCCAACCCTTGTTTGCTCTTGTTATTTCCTGTTTCAAAGCAATGGAACAGTTAGAAGTTAGATCAAAATTTCTACCATCAAAGAACCAATGTACTTTCAGAATAAATAAGCCAAAAATTGGAAAATACAATGGAGTCACATATTTTATTTTTCTCCCGAGCTTTTCTAATTATATACTAATTTCTATAGCATGTATACAAGTGAGACCCAAAGGTGTTTTTTCAAGAGGCACCTGGACTTTCTGGTTTTTCTTTGAAGACATTTCGCTTCTCATCTTCTTGGATGAGAAGTAAAACATCTTCAAAGAAAAACCAGAAAGTCTAGTTGCCTCTTGAAAAAGCATCTTTGAGACAACCATGACCTGAGAATCTCCATAGACATCTACAAGTGAGAACTAAGCAGTTTTTTTGTTTTTCAGTTTTGGTCCCTTCAGGTCAGTCATGATTCCTAGCAACTGCCTGGCAAAGGCTCTGCAGTTTTCTTGGCAATATTTTGGAAGTGGTTAGTCCTTGCTTGCTTGCTTCTTAAGGCTCAGAGCAATTGCCTGGCCCAAAGTCACCTAGGTGGTTTCATGCCCACAGTTCCCCATTTTCTAGATTGTTGCCTCAACCACCACACTAAACTGACTCTCTAACATAACTTCAGGTAGGTATACAAGTGAGTGCTTCCCTAAGTGATACTTCTTTCATATTTCTTACTTTTCTTTCTTTATAGAGCCTCACTCAACTCATTACATTCTGTCAAACTATCTGGTCAATGCTTTTATTGCTCAGGAAATCAGCTGTAAGGTAGATTAAAGCCTAGTTCAGAAAGCCAATATATACTAGTTATCAAAAGTATCAGAAAAGTGGGACTAATTTAGAAAGGTATTTTATAAAGGAGTCAAAAGTTAATTCAAATTCAGAAGTCACAACTTTCTCTAAAAAATTACCAGTTAGAAGAGGTTTTAAAGTTTTGATTTCTAGAACACTTCCTTGTAACAAAGGAGTTTTCACTCTCCTAGTAAGGGGAGGCCACCTGTCAGCCAGTTAATGCCTACAATCTGTTGTTAGCAAATTCCTGTGTCCCTTCCTAGAAATCAAAAAGAAGCAGGTTCTTCTTTTTCGTATTTTAATCTACCACAGAAGAAGCAAAGATACTATATAAAGGAGACATCTGAACAAGAGAAAGGTTTAAAACAATATTTTAGCAGTGGAGTCCTCCCTGCAGAATAGGAGTTAGGCCAGAGCCATGCACACAAAAACACACAGTTGTACAATACAACTGGCTTGCTGCTGGGAAGCACAGAATACCAAATTAGGGAAGCCCTCTTTGCCTAGCATAAGAGTCACTGGCAGCTGCCAGGAATCAGCTGGTTGCTGTGTTCCATTGTGAGCTACATAGACAGCTGGCGAGAGCCATGACAACCAATTGCCCAAGTACCACAGGCAGTTTTATATATTTGACTTAGAAATATCTGCTTGTCAAAATCATGGGCAACCATAAAGTCTGAAATTTAAGATTCAGAATATTTCCCTGACAATAGATGTTTGTTCTTGGATTTCCAAAGACTACATTTCCCTGCCATAATTTATTATTGACTTAAGCTCTTCTCAAGCCTAGTGCAACATTTGTAAGGTAGAAGAAGACTGGAACACCCCATGCCTCATCACAATCATGAAAATGAAAAAAAAAATAGTTAAAGAAAAGTGAGGTCTAATTATACCAGCCCTAGTTTCTTCAAGAAGGCAAAAGCAACTCCATTCACTTTCTGAAAATAGATTATATCTTCACATGTACGGTATTCATTTCAGATAAAAATCAAAACAAGTGGACAGAATTGTAGAGCAATCAGATATTTAACCTGTCTCATTGCAGTTAAAAAGCCCTGGGGATTGAAGAATCCTGTCATCCAAAAGCAATTTGGTCGTTTCTCAAAAATCCAAGAATGAAATTGCCGGTTTCTTTCAAGAAGTTCAGTAAACCAAAAACCAAGTGTGCTGGAAGCCCAAGATGCCTAGAAACAGAGAAAAAAAATATGGTACAAGAAACTACACTGTACAATGCTTCGAAACTTGGGGGTTGAAGACGTAAAAAGTATCTGGGTTGTATACTGCATTTTTTCAGAAGACGGACTATGCTAAAGACAAGATGTCAGAGAAAAGAGTAACCAAATTTATCCTCCTTGTATGAAGGAACTTTCAATCAAGTTAGCTTCTAGTCCTTTCCCACCCAAATCTGCAGGAGTACACGGTAAGTGGATCAAGCTACTTTTATAAAACATTGGATGCAGATGATTATACTACTCATGAAGTAAATGCATTTTTTTTTTAAAAAAAAGAGAAGTCCCAGTAGATACTGCAGTACAATTAGTCCTCGACTTACAACACTTCATTTAGTGATTGTTCAAAGTTGCTACATCATAGCAGCCCCATGGTCATGTGATCAAAATTCAAACCCTTGGTAACTGATTCATGTTTATAATGGCTGCAGGATCCCAGGGCCGGGTGATCTCCTTTTGTGACCTTCTCACAAGCAAAGTCAATGGGGAAGTCAGATTCATTGAGCAACTGTGTTACTAACTTAACAGCTGTCGTGATTCATTTAACAGGCTGTAAAATGGGGCAAAATTTACTTAACCAATGTCTCACTTAGCAACATATATTTTGGGCTCTATTGTGGTTGTAAATCGACAGCTACCTGTACTAAAGTGATAAGACAGAAATGGCATGGTGAAATTACTACATGAGACATCTTTCCTATATGTATGGCCTAGAAATTTCCTACTGGAATGGCATGTAATGCTAAGTAAACATATGAAAACACGCCTTCAATTACAAGGAATCAATTAATTAACAGTAACTATGTAGGTGTGTTTAGGTGCTTTGACCATATCATAATTGGATTAGGGGAGTTAATATAGAAGAATGATGGCATAACATTATTTTCCTTCTAATGAAACAACAGTACCAACCTTTCTCCAGCGCTCTGGGATTCGTGCATCATACATACAATCCAGAGCATCCCTGAGATTCTCATTCATGATTATGGTTCCATCAATGGCCAGTTTAAGATCTGTCAAAGTGTTTCGCACCAGAGCGATAATCCTTTGCATTCTGTCAATTTCCTGTCGCAGAAAGATGTTCATTGGCTGAAATGGTCCCATTTGCTGAAGTCTTTCCTTTACCTAACATGAGATAGAGAATATTTAAATACAATGCCAGTTAGCATGCTGACCGCCATGTCCACTAGGCATTAGCTACTGACTTCTATAAAATTCTATGCGGAGGAAATGAAATGGGAGGAAAACTTTTTTTTTCAAAGAGGCAAGGAGCATGAACTCCTTGAACATTAAAATCATGTACAAGAAGCTTGTCTAAAAAATATCTGAATCAGTTATTTCAAAAGTATTTGAAAATAAATGCAAGTATAAAAATGGCATGATATTTAGAAGGTTAATGTATCCATAATTCTCTATGGAAAAGCTATAAAACAAATACAGAAAGCTTTGATATGTGAAGATTTAATAAATCTAATTATAAATATAAATATCAAATCAAACCAAGTAAGTGATCAAATATACATGAGTGTATTTGCATGCAAGAGCCAACTAGGAGAATACGAGTTCTAGTTTTAGGCACAAAGCCAGCTGGGTAACCTTGGTCCAGGTTTTCCATTCTCTGTCCTAGGAAGAAGACAATGGCAAACCCCTTCTGAAAAACCTTGCCAATAAAAATATAGGGACATGTCCAGGCAGTCTCCAAGAATCAAACAGAAATGAAGGGCTGGGGGGAGAAACTGCATATGCAGTAGATCACATTAATCAAAAAGGCTGACTGAAGTGCTCATTTTGTTATTAATTTGAATTGATTTTTGTCCCTGAGCAATACCTATTTTTTATAAGCAAATATCTTTCAGTTGGCCTTTTTTGTTGATTTCCTTATTTGGATATCAGTATATTTTATCATTTACTAGCTTGATACCCGTGCTTCACTATGAAACTATGTATTCGGGCTTAGTTTTTGGGGAGGAAAATAAAGGGGGGGATTTCTGCCTCTGCCTACCAGCATCCATTGGTATTCATCTGGCTAGCGTCCTGTCAGTGTGTGAGAGAGTTGAGGGCTGTCTGGATATTGAAACAGTATTTGCTGTGTGAACAAGAAGGAAACAGCAAGGAGCCTGGATGTGGCTTAGCTCAACTGTTCTGTACCAAAGCTGCTTGGTGCTGTGAAACTAAAACTGAAACTGAAACTCCTCTCCTCTGATTGTGTTTTGCATTTGGTACAGCTTTCTTTTCAAGTGGAGAGTGGGAATAGAACTCCTTATCATCAGAGTGTGTTAATAATAATATAGGAAATACTAATGGTCTGATGGTCATTTCGAAAAATCCTTTCTTAGTGAGCACCTAGAAGCCAAGAGGAACATACGTTTGTAGGCTTTACAGTTCTGGAGATTTTGTGATGATGCGTGAGTGGTATTTCGCATTTATATAGATGTCTACAATTAAATTACATATAGATGTCTGCCAATTAAAACAAAGAAATATAACCGGCTGTTTCTCTCCATTTTGAAACTGGCCTGCTTTGTCCTAAAGCACCATATGCAGGGGTGAGATTCTACCAGTTCACACCTATTCGCTAGAACCAGTTGTTAACATTCTAAGTAGTTTGGAGAACCGGTTGTTAGAAGAAATTACTGGCCTAATCCTGTAAGGAAGGCTGGAAGGAAATATTCTGGTGTTGCTTACCGAAACTGCCTCTCTGTTAACCCTTATTACATTCTTGGCAGGACTAGACTTCCTGTCTCAGGAACTTCTCTGGAGTTTTTTTTCCCTCCTTTGCTGGTACTTTGCTTGTGTGGAGTGACCATTCAAAGTTACAATGGCACTGAAAAAAGTGACTTATGACCATTTTTCACATTTACGACTGTTGCAGCATCCCCACAGTCATGAGAGGCCAGGCGCAGAGATGCGTGCCTCAATGTGAGTGATATTGAGTTGGCCATGCCCAGCCATAAATATGACCATCAAGCCACGCCCACCAACTAAGCCACGCCCACAGAACCGGTTGTTAAAAAATTTGAATCCCATCTCTTTGTTATTTAGCTTCACCAGTTCATTCCTTAATATCTATGTTACAAGCATAGTGAAAATATTATTTTTGAAAAGGGGGGATTAAGAAAAAAGGGGTTTCCCCCCCAGTTAGACAACATGAAAAACAATTCCAATTTAGCCGATGCTTCCTATCTCAAGATTGTATGAACTTACTTCAAAAGGCACATAATCTGCAGGTAGTTTCTCCAACATATCATCAGCAAGCCTGGCCACTACAGCTTCTCGGGTTTCACCACTTCCACTAGAGCTATCTTTGGGCTGAATGCTGAGGATGGTGTCTAGCACATCTTTTGCCAGTTTGCTCTGGTAAGTAATATCAGCATTGGGATGCAGCCCAAAGACTTCTGGAGTATCATAAGCAGGCAAGCCCTGTTCAAGGCAACATAAAGCACATATAACAAGGGTTACCTTGTGGTCAGTACATTTTATTAATATAGAGTAATATAGAGACTCTTCTAAAGTACTGGTGGAAACGAGTATTAAAAAAGCAGAGTGGCAATAGCAAACATATTTTTAAAAAAACAGCATCAGAGAGCACAGCAAAAAATGAATAAATAGGAATAAAAATCCCTATTTTAATGCATTATTGATTGGGGGTTTAACAAAATATAACAGTACACTGGAATCTAAAAGAATATTTGTAATATGTGTGTGTGTGTGTGTGTGCATATAGCATGTGTGCATGTGTGTTTATATATATACAGACACATACATGTGTCTGTGTGTGTATAGTGTATGTATATATACGGTATAGTGATACATATACATATATAATGTTTATAAATGTGCCCGTATATGTATCTTTAAAAAGATAACATCAGCAAATAGTTAGATTTCAGATTTTTCATTTATACAATACGTTTCAGGAAATTATTACATAAGGTGAAAGAATAATTATCTAACTTAACACTTGTACGGTGCTTTGAAGTAGTTTAATTGTACTAACTGAACTTTGAAGTTCAGTTTAATTGTACTAACTGAACTTTGAAGTTCAGTTTAATTGTAACCCTGATACCATAACCTTTATGTATTTATATAAAATTTTAAACGTCTTATCAGCAATACTCTTCTTTGTCATGGTAACACCATCATTCTCCCACCCCCTTTACATTGTTCTGATTTTAGTATCAAAAAGAAATGCATTGTCACTGACATCAACACAAAGGCAATTTTCAAATCAAGAATTTCCAGATGTTCACAAATGTCTTAAATATTACTATCTCTGAGGCTGTGAGGCAGAAGTTCAATCTACCTACATAGCACATTATTAATTTCTCAGTTCCTTTCATATTTTGATATTAATTTCTTTACTTTAAACATCCTTTCTATATATCTTCAGAGTTCTTGTCTGCAATTTCTATACAGGATATTTGATTAAGGAGAAAGTACGCTAGAGCACTGACTTTGTGAATGAAGAAAGCTTTTGATTTATTAACTTCAGCTTAGCCTTCAATTTTCCTTTTATTTTCCAATGATAACAAACCTGTATGTAGTGCAGGTACTGATCCACTGTAGTACACTTGGGTATATTGTATCCTTTGTAAAATGAAAAGTCTTGGCTGAACATGCTTTCACTGAACCACACTTTAGCAAATGTGTTAAGGAGCCTTTTGTCATAGTCATCTGTCACCCTTCCACCATACTGAATTTCCCCAATCATATAACGAACAGTATTCCAGGACACACCCTGAAAAAGATTTTTAAAAATATGGTATGTATACTAAAATAAATGTATATGTTTATAATCAATCAGAATAGAGCTGGAAGGGACCTAGTCCATGTGCACATGAAAGATCTGAAAATTCCTATGCATATATTATCTTATTCTGAACTAGACTGAATCAAAAACAGTTCCATTATTAAATTGGAATCCTCCCCCTATTTACTTTTCTATCTCTCTCTTGTTGTTAGCTATCTTCTTTCTCTTCCAACAGCATATTATAGCCATCCAATATGTATTACATCTGATATCAGGACATCCATCCTTATCTCTAAATCTAGGCTAGTGAATTTAATGTTTAACATTAAAGGTTAATTGACTATATTACATTGAGTGAAGATTGGTGGACAACATCATAAATTATTTCAAGTTTCATATATGCTGCTAGAGATTTATTTCCAGCCAATTAGTGCCAATTAACCTTTTTGATGTCCATGTCATCCAAATGGTTCTGAACAAACTGTACTGTGGCATTGAAATCAGCTTGGTTGAATTCATAAGGAATATTCCATCCTAGAGGTCCAAATTTCCTTCTCTCTTGAACAGTGGAGTGGAGGAAAGCAACAGCATATAAGATTGGCTTCCATTGCACCATATTGCTGATGTCCAAGAGATCTTGATTCACACCTGTAACAAAGTCATTGACCATTATAAACAAACTTTCCTATAAATCCCTTAATGAAAAGCTTTCTTATTTTGTTTTGACTTTCTGGAACTGCATTTTTCCTTGGCAATTCCCATTTAATCACAACTTCTACATGATAGTTACTTACACAAAAATAATAGCATATTTCCCACTTATATGCTACACTTGAAAAGAACAACCATACATAGGTATCAAACCAAAATTCTCTAAACCAATCAAAAATCTTGAAGTAATAGAACCGTGGTGGCATAGTGGTTAGAATGTAGTATTGCAGGCTAATTCTGTTGAGTTTGATCCTGACTGGCTCAAGGTTTACTCAGCCTTCCAAATTTCTTAGGTCAGTAAAATGAAGACTCAGATTGTTGGGGACAATATGCTGGCTCTGTAAAACTGTTTAGAGAGGGCTGTAAAGCACTGTGAAGTGGTATATAAGTCTAAGTGCTATTGCTATTGCTAATATATATGAATGAAAACACTCAGTGAAAAAAAAAATAACTTTCTGCTAGTAATCATTTTCAATAGTCAGACATGCCTGAATTGGTAATTTACTGATTAGCAAATGATCAGAACATTCAGCTATTTATAGGCATGCTTGCAGCCATTTATCTTATATTTTATATATGTTTAAAGTAGAAAATCCAGAACAAATTGACTGATCAAAATACTCCAAGCACCCTTAAGATCATTCAAGGTACATGATTTTGTCTCGCTAAAAACTGAATAAAATATTGAATTTTATGCGGAAAATTTATCAAATATCTGTTTGACAGATGAAGCTAAGTTACTCACCTCCGTACGTTCTCTTTAGGCCAGCTTTTAGTCCCTGGGGAGGTTCATTAGTGAATTTTATAGACATCTGTAGAAGGGTAATAGGAAAGTGTTTGTGGACCTCTGTAGTCACCCACAAGCGAAAGGCCTCATGAATTATCTCTGTTTCCACAATAGTGTCCATCAGCTCATCCATAAAGTCAAGACCCAAGTGGCAGTTCTGCAAGAGGGCCCATCCACCCTAAGAAAATAAGATGTTAAGAGACATGTTCATTTTGGAAATTAACACCATGCATTCAGATTATTGTTACCTTCCAATGATATTCAATTCACAATTCCTCAGTGCTGACATAGTATTTTGAAAATAAATCATACTTTGTTTCAAGCTCCAAAAGTAACTGAAGTAGAGCCAATAAACTAAGAAAATGAAAGAATTCTATGGATGCTACTTAGAATAGATTTGATTTTTAGTGGTAGGATGGACGCCATCTTGTACATATCCAACTAGCATAATCTTTCACTCAATATCACCAACAATGATCAATTTTATTTTGAAAATGAAATTCAACAAAGTAACAACTTAATTTATCTGCAATATAAATGTGTGTCACCCAAGCAATATATCTGCTCCCAAATATAAACATGTATTGGATTGTGCCTAGAATTTAGCAAAATATATGGAGTAATTGATTTTAAAACATAATACATTTTCATTTTCAGAATGCTACTGGCTAGAAATAATCCTATTTTTGCTCTTTAGAAATAAAAAGAGAAAGTCTATTCCATAAACAATATTAGTTATGCTATATTCATGCTTAGCTAAACCTCACTAGTAATTTGTAAGGTTTTTGGGTTTTTTTAAGTGGCCTACACCAAATTAGCATGGAAAAGTTGCCTTACATGAGCCATTGTTTGTTGCAGGAGTTTACGTGCATGGACTTCTTGTCCCTGACCCATGGAAACGCAGCGTGTCTCAATTTTCAACCTTTTCCCCAAAGCAATGATTGAATCAGTAGGATCAGAGCCCATTGACAGGAAGCAGATGAGAGGTGTGCGTGGATCAGATTCTTCCCAAGTCTTCTCCAAATCTAAAATGACCCCTTCCGCATATTTTTCTCCCATGGTATCCATAATGTACTTCCTAGCCTAATTTTTTTTAAAAAAGATATATATTAATGTTTCACTTGTACTTAATAGTAAAAATGCAGGGTCTTTGGAGATAAAGCATTTAGGGAAGAATTTGCAGGATATTTGATAAGTTCAAACAAGAATGTACAATCAACTCATTAGAACATTTCAGAGGTGTGGTGTAAATCTTACTATACCATGTGAGTGGTGGTATTTTATATATCTAATTACTAAATGTTCCTATTGTTTAAAATAATGTCTGTGGGATTCTCACTAAACTTTAATAGGTACAAGGTGCCTACAGCAGTATTTGCATTTCAGCATTCTCATTGCAAACAACAGGACAAATATCCAATTTGTAAAGCTGGGGTTGAAGCCAAATGGAATTTATTCACTTGCTGATATAAGAACAATTTCAATCCCTTCATCACAAATAGCACTGAGGTTTACTGGAAAGCAATGTGCAATTACTGCTTTCCCCAAAGCTAGTGTTTAAGGCATTGCTTCATTCATTTCTTGGAGATTTTCCACAATACAATGATATCCCTGGCTATGTTTACGCTACTATAAGTTTAAGGGAAAGCCTAGACCTCAGGGGAAAAAACATTCTCTCCATCCATAAGAACAAGAGCTGGTTTTGAAAATGCAGCCCTTGGGAAATATTAGATATCTCATCAGTATTCAATGACATTGATTATAGAATTTTTCTGGACCCCCCGAATTGGTTGGGAGTTCAAAGAACCATTTTAGAATGGTTCAGTTCCTATCAGACTAAAAAGATGTAACTGATGTTAATGGGTGCTGAGCACCTGAACCCTTGATCATCCTTTATGGGATGCCAGGAGTCTTGATACTTCCCTTCCCTTCATTTAATGTCTATGTGAAATTGATGGGTGAAACCAGGCATGAGACTTGGGCGAGATATCAACAATATCCTAACAATATCTAATTGTATGTCTCCATCATGCGGGAGGACAAGACTGCAAGTTCTTAATCCTGACTGAGGCTAAAATTGAATCTTAGGTAAATTGAAATTGAACTCTAGGCAAGAGTAACTTATTATTTATTCCAGAAGCTATAAAATTTGGCAGAGACTCCCCGCCCCCCCCAAGCTGACTCTTGACAAGATTACAAAATCTCCCTGAAGAAGCAGAACTGTTACTTGAGAATTATCCTTGATTCATGGCTTTTACTTGATTAGCAAGTGGAGATTGTGGCCTGGGAAAACTTTGCCTGCCCTTGGCTGCTGTACCGATTGTGGTTCTTTTTTAAAGTTTATCTTGAGACTGATTTATTGCCATATACTTTATTCGAAGCTACTTTTGAACTAGGAAAGTTTATTTTGTACACATTTCTGCAATCTATATGCTGGTAGTTGAAAACTATTTCAACAATGCAACATCAATACTGTAGATACTGCATTGCTATCAGTGTGCTTCTGAATACAGTCTGAAATGCTGGCTTTGAACTTTAAAATTTTGTATATTTTAGATCCATGTTATTTTATCCTCTCCAGAGTCTGGAGGAACTAAAATGTATTTTATACAGTGCTGCTCCTGTGGCAATAGAAGAAGAATGAAATAAAATAATAGCCTTATGAATGTACATGCGGGAAAGTTCTCCCTTCAAATGACTCAGCTAGAGATATTCCTGGGATTGTGTTTGTGTATGTATAGGACTGTATACGTGATGCATAACAACTACAAAAATATTCTTCGCTATATTTTATCATTAAAACTTTCATACATTACCTGAGCAATAGTTCTATCAGGGCACCAAGACCTAATAAGAAGAAGACGTCTGAAGCAGTCCAGAGCTTGATCATAGCCACTGGGAACAAGTTCTTCTTCTGGTTTTTCCTTATCAAACCAAATTTTCCACTGTTTTTCTGTCCGTGAGATCTGATAATACAATGAGAGTATCATATTCCATAGGACTCATCAAACACGGTCCCCTTTTCCTGATTCAAAAACATTTGTTGAGGACATCTCTCATGTTGGAGTGACCATCTTGGGGCCAGTCTGCTATTGAGTTGGATCAAGGTGATCTGGCAGGACCGTGTTTTCCACAGGAAAATGGAAGAAACCCCCTACGTGAACATTCTGCGTCACACAGAAGTGTCTTTGGATGGATGGCGACCTGTTAAGGTTTAACACTGAAGGACTACCAACTCCCATCAGTCATGGAGTTCTGTGCTTCTTGGCAATATTAACAGTAGTTGCAAAACAAGCCAAAACTTGGCTTGTGTAGAATGTTTTCCCTTCATGGACTGAGGGTGTTGGACTGTCAAATATTAACTTAATGGCAGACCAATACACACCTTCAAGGTTGCTATTCCTATCATTAAACTGACAGTTTAAACAGCACTGTGTAGGCACTTATCATAGGACAAACCCATCCCCTCTGCTGCACTTGCTTTATTTCTGTGTTTGCTAGAGAGCATCATCACCAGTATAGCAGCAGCAACAACAGCAGCCTCTCCCCTGTTCTTGTGGCATCCCAAGGCAAAGTAAGAGGAACACTGAGGGGGCAGTGATTTTGAGAATAGATGTTTCTCTGACCTTGAAGATTGGAGAATAGCATATTCTATATGGCTATATGGCTGGAACTTTCAAAGAATATGATATCTCAGATAGCTGAATGAGTGACTCTGTGTGCCTTTCTGAAAGGACCACCATCAGGGTAGGGCTGTTGGGGGTTCGCAGGGGTTCAGGAGAGCCCCTAGCTAAGATTCTGTGCAATTCAGAGAACCCCAAATCCCACTCCTGGCTGGCCCTGCCCACCCTACCCCACCCCTCCCAGGAGTCCCCATGCGGCCTATTTGGGATGCAGGTAAGTACAGGGTGCGCATGGAGGCTTGGAGAGGGCAAAAAACAGGCCTCCTGGAAGTTCGGGAAGGTTGGAAATGGGCCCCTTTCCAGCTTCCAAAGAGCCTCCAGAGCCCAGGGAGGCCGTTTTCACCCTCCAGGAAAGCCTCCCGAGCCTGGGGCAGGCAAAAATGTACCCCACCCCACCCGGCTGTGATGCAGGAGGCCGACTAGGCCACTCCCACCATCGCCACGCTCACCCAGCAGAGAACGCCTTGCTAAAATTTTTGAAGCCTACCCCTGATCACCATCTTTCTTAGCTGTATGAGTCTTGATTCATAGTTCTAGCTGTAATGAACTATAAGCATTAATATACGGTGCAGTTTTATTTGCTCCAAAATGTAAAGATGAAACTTTTATCCTAGGTACATGTCAAGAAGCATTTTTCCAGCAAGTTCTTACACTAGATTTAAAGAACTGGTTTAATTTTAAAGCATTAGCTCCATGTAACTAGGTTATTTAAAGAAATAGAATACTTTATTGACCAAGGGTGATTGTAAACAGAAGGAATTTGTCTTGGTGTAAATGCTTTCAGTATACATAAAAGAAGATACATTTGTTAAGAATCAAGAATCATAACGTACAACACTTAATGATAGTCATAGGGTACAATCAGCAATCAAATCCTACTAGGAAACAGTCAATATCAATCGTAAAGATACAAGTGACAAAGTTACAGCCCTACAATCACAAGTGGGAGGGGATGGGTGATAAGGAGTGATGAGAAGATTAACAGTAATAGTAGTGCAGACTTTGTAATAGTTGAACAGCGTTGAGGGAATTATTTGTTTAGCAGAGTGATGGCTTTCAGGAAAAAAACTGTTCTTGTATCTAGTTGTCCTGGTGTGCAATGTGCTATAGCGTCGTTTTGAGGGAAGGAGTTGAAAGAGTTTATGTCCGGGATGTGAAATATGCTTTATATGCCCTTATGCCTTTGGATCTGAACCAAGGCTGGCTGACTGGCTTGTTTATGGTTTACCATCACCACTAGAGATGAACGTGAATTTGAATATGTAGTAAAGTGTATTCTGTAATGATCTCAGAACATTTGTTTCTGAAACATCAGTGCTTCCAGTTCTACATTTGCCAGATAATATATATCCAAGGCAAATTAACACATTGAAATTGAAATCCATTAAACTGTCAATTGAAACAAACTGCAAAAACAAAATATACCAACTCCTACTGGTACCTACTTGGTCAAGAACATCTGAAAATTGCCTCAGTTTACTGAGCTCCACCAAATTCAACCAAGTCATATCCAGAATCCATCTAGCTGGTTTAGGAGGACAAGCTTTTAGATCCAAAGAAGCACCACCTGAAAATACATATATTAAAAGTTTAAAGTTTTTTAAAAAGTAGAAAAAATAATAATACCCCCCCACACACACACACACACAAAGCACATACACAAACTCTCCCTTACTTAAAGGGAGTTTACACACCTATGCTAGAATTTAAGACTATGTCGCCTATTCTGCATGAAGTTGAATATCATACGTTAAATTTCACTTAGAACCCTAAACCAGAAAGTCACAAAATTTGCAGGTTGCAGTGTACAAGGCTTATCAGTTCAACAAATTCAATATTCAATCAAGTGATGGATAGGGCCCACCCTGTGAAGCATGAGGTTAGTATCTCTAATTATTGTTTTGTACAGGCAAGGAGAAAACAGCACAGGACCATACTCTAAGAATGTGATGTAGTTGCTATGACCTTTAATCAGAGTTAGGAACTCCTCATGTTTGACTTTGCCCCACTGCAAATCAATCTTCAAGGTAAGCAGCAACGTGAACAGAAACTTGTGCTCCTCATAAAGCCCTCGTGCGGCATATTTATACACTTCATAGGTCATATGCTCAATGATATTTGCTATCCTTTTGCTTGTAATTGGGCTCTTGACAGACCTATTCAAAAGAAAGGGAGAGGATAAAAGAGTAATATAATTCCTTTAGGGCAAAGATTTTAGAAAGGGTAAAAATATACACGAATAAAGCATTTTCAAAGCTGTACTTAATAATACTGAGTTCATGCAAAAGCAAACAGAGTTGCTGAGGCAAATTCAACATGACATTAAATACTGTTCGATCAATATGATCCAGCTGGCTAGGACTGTTTGGACTGCTGAGAGTTTACTCTTCTTTTGGATAGATTGAAAGGTGTTTTAGCTTCATATAATTGATTCCCTTGATCTTTATCCCTACTAGTCCTCCCTCCCTCCCTTCCTTTTTTTTTCATAATGCAGTGACCACTAAAGGGAGACTGCCATCACTTCATATTGGGATGTGGGATCTTCAGCAGACACTTACTAAATGAATAGACAGGATTGGCAGAATTGTTACAGATAAGGCATCCCTAAGATATTACTCTAAGCCAGAGGTCATCAAACTTGACAACTTTAAGACTTGTGGACTTCAATTCCTAGAATTCTCCAGCCAGCTGGCTGGAGAATTCTGGGAGTTGAAGTCCACAAGTCTTAAAGTTGCCAAGTTTGGGGACCCCGGCTCTAAGCAATTTGAAAAGCTAGTGATCCATAGCATCTGCTGGGACAGCAGATGACAGCTGTGCCTAAGAGGCCTTTGCACAACGTCTTGTGGTCCAATTGCATCCCTTCTATGATCTGGAGGCTCAACTTCCTGCTATTCACATCTCAGTCATTTCCCAATTGGATTAGTGCAATGTGTTCTCTACAGGACTGCCCTTGAAAACCATCTAGGAGCTACAACTGATCCAGAAGGCAGTAGTATAAGGAGGGGTATACTTTGTTGTGTTCATGAACATAATTATTTCATGAGCTACTCTGACTCCAAAAAGTTTCTGAGTGCAGGTGGCATAAAATAAGGTTCTTTGCAGGATTGCCTATCTCTGGTGCCATCTGTCATCACATATACTGTGGGATGGGCACACTTAGAGTCCCTTACCTGAAGCAATGTCACCTAGTGGACTTGTACCATTGGGTGGATTTGATCACAAAATAACAGAGTTGGAAGGGACCTTGGAGGTCTTCTAGTCCAACCCCGTGTTCAAGCAGGAAACCCTATATTATTTCAGACATATGGTTATCCAATTTCTTCTTTAAAACCTCCAGTGTTGTAGTACCCACAACTTCTGGAGGCAAGTTCTTCCACTGATTAAATTGTCCTCACTGTCAAGAAATTTGATTTGACTCTTGGAGCCCCAACTGAATTGAGAAAACTCTTAAGGTGAATTGCAGAGGGGTTCTGTTGGTAAGCATTAGCACAACTAGGAAGGTTTCAAAAAGCATTACATGTTCAGCTTAACATGTTATGTAAATTCAATCTCTATCTCCACAGGCTAAAGCCTAGGATAGGAAGATAATTCATTGATAATTCAATAATTGAAACTTAAGAGTCTCAGTTGCTCAAGTTGCGCAGCCACATAATTTTTGATAAATAAATAAAATCAAGCTAACACTAAAAGAGGTTTTTGCAATCTTAGAGATCAGCTTGTTAGTAATTCCTGATTTCTCATCTTCTCACTTATTTGCTTGTAAGTTACTGGAAATGTTATGTGAAGCATAGTTCTCTAATATACCATAGACAGACAAAGTGTCTATGTTCCAAGCCCACGCTGGATGGGAATTTATGAGAATTGTAGTCCAAAGTATGGGGTAAAGCTGTACATCTGATACATTAGACTGTAAGCTATGCATTAGACCAGTGATTCCCAAAGTGGGCGGTACCGCCACCTGGCGGGGGGATGCCTTAAAGAGGTGCTGAGAGGCAAGGAGGCCAGCAGGGGGGTGCTAAGAGGTGGCAGGGGGCGCTGGAGGTGAGCGGCAGGGCATAATTCAGGGGTGAGAAAAAATCCCGCCACTGTGTTCGAGGCAAGGCCCCACAGGATCATCCCATTGACTTGCACGCTCTGGCACAAGGAGCTCTGCCCCCCAAACCCAGCATTGGGAAAGGAGAGCAAAGCCTTTGCAAACATCCCACCGCCGTGTTCTGGGCGGCGGGGTGGCACTCTGAACACAGCGTTGGGAAAGGAGAACAAAGCCAGAGTGGCTTTGCTCTCCTTTTCAAACATCCCACCGCCGTGTTCAGGAGAGCAAAGCCTTTTCAAACATCCCACCGCCCTATTCTGGACGGTGGGGCAGAGCCCCGAACGCAGCGTTGGGAATAGGAGAGCAAAGCCAGAGTGGCTTTGCTCTCCTTTTCAAACATCCTGCCGCCGCCATGTTCCACCCCATTGAGCTCCTTGCACCGGAGGTACCTGCCCAAGCACGTCTGGAGCGGTGCACGAAGTCAATGGAGTGAGCCTGAGAGAGGGAAAGAGAGAGGAAAGAGAGAGAGAGAGAGAGAGAGAGAAGGAAGAAGAGAAATAGAAAATGAAAATAAAGAAAAGTGGACAAAGAAAGAGGGTGGATGGAAGGAAGGGACAGAAAGAAAAAGAAATAAAGAAAAAGGGACAAAGAAAGAGGGGGGATGGAAGGAAGGGACAGAAAGAAAAAGAAATAAAGAAGGAGGGAGGGAGGGAGGAGAAAGATAATGAGATATCTATTCTAGTCCAATCACCTGCTCCAGCAGGGTTAGAAGGGAGTATGTGCGTGTGTGTGTTCTCCTTGTAATTTACCAGTACATTTTGGTTTTGCCTTCTTCAGAATTGGCACTGTAATACATAGGGGAAAAGTAATTTTTTAGGGTGGAGATCTGGTCCAATGGATCCTGTTTAAAGCCTCAACAAAATGTGAGAGCTTCCTGATAGTCTTGGCCATGTTTCGTCCACAAAACCTTTAATTAATAGAAGCCAAAAATGTTTCAATGTGCTGGCAAAGATGCTGGCAAAGACGTTTCAATGTGGAAAAGGGCCTCTAAACTAGGCCTCATTTCAAACTGATGCATCAGGTCTCTCTCTCTCTCTCTCTCTCCCTCCCCCCTCCATGCCCCCCCCCCTTTCTATCTATCTATCTATCTACCAATATATCTATCTGTCTGCCTGCCTGCCTGCCTGCCTCTCTCTCTCTCTCCATCCATCCATCCATCCATGTTCAAAGCAGGCACATCGGGAAAGAAGAGCAAAGCCAGTCTTGGAGGGAGGGAGGGAAGGAAGGAGAGAGAAAGAGAGAGGAGAGAGAGAGAGAGAGAGAGAGAGAAAGAGAGAGAGAGAGAGACCTGATGCATCAGATTGAAATGAGGCCTAGTTTAGACTGAGGCCCTTTTCCACATTGAAACCTCTTTGGCTTCTATTAAAGGTTTTGTGAATGAAACATGGTCAAGACTATCAGGAAGCTCTCACATTTTGTTGAGGCTTTAAACAGGATCCATTGGACCAGATCTCCACCCTAAAAATTACTTTTCCCCAATGTATTACAGTGCCAATTCTGAAGAAGGCAAAACCAAAATATACTGATAAATTACAAGGAGAACACACACACACACACTCGCTTCTAACCCTGCTGGAGCAGGTGATTGGACTAGAATAGATATCTCATTATCTTTCTCTTCCCTCCCTCCCTCCTTCTTTATTTCTTTTTCTTTCTGTCCCTTCCTTCCATCCCCCCTTCGTCTGTCCCTTTTTCTTTCTTTCCCTTTTCTCTTTCTTTTCTTCCTTCTCTCTTTCTCTCTTTCCCTCTCCCAGGCTCACCCCATTGATTTAGTGCACTGCTCCGCTCAGACTTGCTTGGGCAGGTCCCTCCAGTGCAGTGGGCTCAATGGGGTGGACCTGCGGGGCCGGCACCTAGAATGCGGCAGTGCTGGCACGTTTGAAAAGTAGAGCAAAGCCAGAGGTCAGTAATTTTTGCTGCAAAGAATCACAAAAGCTTCTGGGTTCTGCACAAGAAGGAACACACATGTTAATGCAATTCAGCAACATAAAACAAAGAAATACAAATAAAACAAGTCAACAAGAATCGGCAAAGTATCTCTGATTAGATTTTATTCACTACTAGAATCTAATCAGAGATGCTTTGCCAATTCTAGTCCAATGACCTGCTCCAGCAGGGTTGGAAGGGAGTATGTGTATATGTGTGTGTGCATGGCTGTCAAAACTCCAGAAACAGGTCAAGTAGTTCTGGGGAGGCCAGTCATAAATTAAAACACTTGCTAAGCAACCGGCCATTAAGTGAGGACCACTTGTATTTGGTTTGCCAGTCATCAAACCACACTCACCCAGTCACGTGACCAGCAAGCCACGCCCACCGAGTCATGTGACCAGCAAGCCACACCTACCCAATCACGTGACCAGCAAACCACACCCTCAAATTAGGCCATGCCCACAGAAATTTGAATCCCGCTCCTGGGTGGTGGGCATTGAGGATGAGTTTGTAGCACCAAGGGGGCGGTGGACTGAAAAGGTTTGGGAACCACTGCATTAGACTGACACGTCCCCTTCAGCTTTATTGGAGATATACACCTCAAAGTGAAGGAAGCAATATGCTCAGCATCTAGTCATCTCATTGCAAAGGCAAAAGCAGTTACTTCTGCCCACTTTTGCATACAGGAAGAACTTTTTCTCCTGGGAAATTATTTTTGACTTGATGCTTTCCAAACTCTTTTAAAGTCCAATCCCTCCAGAGTACTTATTATATATTCCGCTTCCTCTGAATTATTCTCTTTTTCTCAGGCCCTTTTAGAGAATGCAAGCTGAAGTTTTTGAACGCAGATCAGTGCTTGCTATGTCAACACATAACAAAAGAGAATATTTCAATTCTGCGTAGGATTTTTATTTATTAAGCCTCCTTGTCTCTGAGAATAAAGTCCTTGGAGAGGCTTAAGAATGATAATCAGAAATATACTTAAAATGAGATCTCATTAGAAATCACTAAAGAAAAGACTACACTGTCTGCTACTTTTTTCTTCTCGTATTCCCCAGGGCAGAATATTCTTTCTTTCTCCATCAGCCAGATGACTTAAGGATATTGGAAGGCTATGTTCCATGGCTCTAAGAAAGAAAGTCTGAAATGGTGCTATGTGCGACAGAAAAGAAGAGCTTTAAGGCATCAGAAACAAAGTTAGACCTGAGACATGTACGAGCCCACCCAGTGGGCAGAAAAGGAATTGCTGCTTAGCATGATTATTACACTGGGAAGCTGCAAGGGACTCAACAATGTTTTAAAAAAATGAGGCATTTATGAATATTAAATCATAAAGAAATGAACCCATGGCAAAAAAATTAAAATGGAGAAAGATACTGTATGTATTTAAGGAAAGTTGCAGTGTAGACCAATTTTGTAGAGCCAAGAAATAAAGTTAAGAGGTATTCTAGATCACATTTTGTGTACGTTCTTCCTTTCCCATTGTCTTTTATGATCAAACATTTTTTTATGCCTTAAGTACTGCAGAACCTGTTCTCAAACTATGAGATTAATGACATAGGTTTGCAGATTCTACACAAGAATGGCTATATCACATCCTTTCAGCTGTATGAAAGCTGTGCCAATTTTTGTTAATCCAGATTGTGAAAAATGTGAAATAATCAAAGTTACCTTGCAAGCGAAAGATCAAACAGGCCCAAAAACTGCCGAAGTGAAGTTTGATACATGACATTTACCATACTCATCTCCGTTATCAGAAAATAGAGAATGCTGCCTCTGGTAGCAACTGAACAAAACAAGATTGGATTGGATCAGCAGAGATGTAAAACCACAGCAACTATTACATCTGTAATTATAAAACCTCATAATGACAATTAATGTCTGATAATAAATAGCTAAACAGGTTTTGGGCACTGGAACCATTCTCTATTTAAATAAGAAAAACAGATACAACCCCCTTTGTGTTTTTTGTTTTTACTACATCACTGTACAGTATTCATTTGCATATTCAAAAAACTGCAATATCAGTTTCAAATGACATTTCTTTCATTGTTCATATTTACTACTCAATAAGAGCCATTCTTCACTTATAAAAGGACTTTTTTTTTTTTGCAAAATTTTAGATGTTAGAGATTTATTCCCCTGCGCAGATAGTTCTTGACCACAATTCTACCCAGAATTTATGTTTCTAAGCAAGATGGTTGTTAAGTGAGTTTCGCCTCATTTTACAACCTTTCTTGCCACAATTGTTAAATTAACCACTGCAGTTGTTAAGTGAATCTGCCTTCCATTGTTGACTTTGCCTGTCAGAAGCTGGCTGAGAAGATTACAAATGATAATCACATGACCCTGGGACAGTGAACTGTCATAAACACATGCCAGTTGCCAAGCACCTGAATCTTGATCGTGTGATCATGGGTATGCTGCAATGGTCATAAGTCACTTTTTCCAGTAACTTTAAACAGTCACTAAATGAAAGGTTGTAAGTCGAGGACTACTTATCTTTAGTCTACTAGTGACAACAGATGAATATTGCAGTTCTAAGAGCCTCAATTCTCCTTGTCAATTAATTTCTGTGGATAAGGAAAATTGCAAGGAAATTGTCATGAACCATTAAAGCTCTCAAATCCTCCTCAAGATAGGCTTGGGGCCTGGCTAATTTTGATTTTAATATTCTACAGTCCAAGCAATAACTACAATTTTGATTTTTAGTTCGGGAGGGGGAGAATCCTCTCACCTGGCCTGTATTCCTCCCGAGCTGAGTTAATCTGTACTTCAGTCTCAACTGATGTTTGCAGTTTCTGGGTCACCTCTTCTGCTGTTCTTTTTGTGTTACTAAGTACAACGATGAGACTCTCATCTTCCACCAGAGAGCCTTGTGTGCTTGTCAGTCGATACAGCAAGTTATCTTCCAGTTCTTTCATCTTCCTTTTGTTAGCTGTCACATCTTCTATAAGATCAGTTCGCTCTTTCTCTAACTCCTGTTAAAGCAGTTCATAAAGACATACTTCAGTGTAATGTATCGTTGAAAGCAGGCCAATTAATACATGCATCTAGAGCAGTGGTAGTCAACCTGGTCCCTACCACCCACTAGTGGGCGTTTCAGCTTTCATGGTGGGTGGTAGGGGTTTTGTCCCCTACTTTATAAATCACCATTACTGTGGAACCAGTGGGCGGCTAGAGAAAACTTTACTACTAACAGAGATACAAAAGTGGACAGTAGGTATAAAAAGGTTGACTTCCCCCGATCTAGAGTATAGTACCAATGCACTGCCAAATTGGTAGCCAAGTATTATTACCAATGTCAATTTCCTGTGATGTTCGCTGCCCTTGATCGCATACCCTGATCTAGAGGACTACTCAGAGCAGGGGAGGGAGGAAATCATTTTCTGAACTACAACCAACTCCATTAAGATTATCCAAGTAAGCACAATCAAATTCTTCCTATTCAGACTGCAGAACCCAGGCAGTCATCACCATAACTTTGATGAAAGAGCTAGGAGCCAAAACAGGGTGGGTAGAAAAATGTTTGAAATTATGTGATGAAGTGGATTGGAAGTATACTCAGCATGGAGCCTGTAAGTATCTCATGGAACCCACTACCACATGAATTTTTCATTCAGCATATAGATCACAGGATATAACATTGATTACTACATTAAGTGGATTTAAAGATGAATAATTCAACGCTATTCATGTTTAATGTTTCATACATAGGGTCTCCCCAGGTGGCATACACAACACTGGTGCTATCATTAGGAAGAATGAGGTGAGAGCTTCAGGCAGAGATTGTGAATGTTTTAAAGGGTAGCAAATATTGTCAAGGTTGGGGTTCAACAACTTATGTTATGTTGTATTTAGATCTATAAATACCGTGTGTATATTGTAGTATAGCCTGGATGAAAATAATTAATTTAACCCAGGTTTTACTATCAAAAGTAACATTAGTTTATATCTAATTCTAAATCTCTTTTATTGTGCAGAATATAACTTGAATATGAGCTAAGATGCCTTTCCTGTTTAAAAAAAGTGACCTCTGGCAGTCTGTAAAAACAAATGTAATTGGAGATGATGAAAGTAATTTAGGAGAATTATGAGATTTTCTTTGGACAAGCAGTCATAGAAAATTTGAGTATTAGCTTTGAAGCAAAAGAATAAAAAACATGGAAAGCAATCAGAGAACATTCTATTTGTTTTAATTGGTTGCTATTTCAAACTGGAATGAAAATAGTTGAGAAGACATTTTCCAGATATAAGTACACATAATTACAAAGATCTACTATGTGATCTTATGTCTAAAAGTTTTTCCTCTCTGGACAATAGAAGCTAATTTCACCTACAGCCATGAACAATGATTTTACTATTATATTCTGAATATCACCGTACTCATCTTATCTCACTATGTAATATTCGTTACTAAATGAGATACTAAAAGGAAGAATTAAAACTAGAAAAATGGATTTAGCCTTTTGCTGGCAGGAATGACATCCTGATAATTAACTAAACACGTTATCACCTAGAATGTATTATCATATGTAGTCATTTTCTTTTAACTCACTGCAAAGTTCTTTCACAATTTGAAGCTATTTAAATTTATGTGAAAAAAGAATCTGTCAACTTTGCAGCCAATCTAAGCAAGACAATAAATAGATGTTATGTTTAACTTGCACATTTTTTTTTCAAATAAAAACATCACTTGCTTTGGAAAATGTGATTAATTTTGAGCTCTCAGCAAGCACCGAGGGAGAATTTAAGTTCATCCTCATTGGCTAATAAAAATCACATTTTAAAGCAAACCTTGAAGGTTGCTATTTACATTATGAAGAAATAAGCCATTGGCAGAAACTGTTTTTCACTTTACAAAATAGGAGTTCAAAGGAAAGCTTTTTTTAAAAAAAAAAATTAGGAATTAACTAAAAATTAGGAATTAAAATAATTTAGAGAAATAAATTATCTCCAGCTAGCTTTCCTCAAATTCTCATAAATTATCCTAGTTTCTCCTATTACTTTTAAGTGCCAAATTCAAATATTAGTTTGAAACCATGATAAATTTGATCCCTTACAGGTGCAGAAATGCAATTAAGATCAGACATAATACTCTGATTTGAGCTAATAATATCCTGTTATCTACTAGATTCAAAGCTCAGGGCAACATACTCTTTTTTATCCTCTTTTCTTTGACCTTCTGATTAGTGGAATTCAACACAAATCACAAATACAAATGAGAAAAGTATGATCTGGTTTTTTTCCTCAAATCAAAATAATAGACTTTTTATGAATTAGATGGTATAATTTAGATGATGAGGATGATGCAAATAACCTTGGCTTATCGTGGATTTTTTTAAATATAATTTTTATTAAACAACTTTTTAACAAACTAAAAACAACACAAATATTAGAAATAAAGAAATAAGGAACAATCGTGATTAAGTATGGCTTTTCTTGCAAGTCCATCAAGCATGAAAAGATGACCCTCCATGTAATCCACAGCTGAGGCAATTTTATACATTCTGGACAATTTTTTGGTAGTCATATACCAATAGTACATCGTTTTACAAAATATATCTTTTAAGTTATAGCAATGCTTTTAACCAAAACTTTTCTCATTGATCTATCAGTATGATGTGTCCAAAGTTTTATCATATAATATTCACTTGCTCTTCTTGGGTTTCAAATTTCAATAAAAGTTGGCTTTTTTTAGCAATTACATGTTCATCATTTGTACTTAGCTCAAATACTGTCTTCTGCTTTTCAATTTCAAATGTCTTATTATGTATCTTAAATCTTTCTTTTAACTGTGCATATAAAAAGCATAAACTAAATTTCTCTGCAGTCAATTGCTCTTTTTGATTTCATCTTATATTCTCAGTGTTCCTGTTCTAACAATTCCGGAAAAATTAACCATATTTTTAGAATATTTTTAACTATCTTTTCTTTCCCATAAAATGCTTCTGTTCTGAGAAACATAAAGGCATTTTTGGGCAATCTGGTTTTATATTTGTTCTATATTCTATATTCACTTCGCTCAAGACCAGATTTACCCATACTGCAAAGAATCCGCTCTCGTGAACTCCGCGCAGAACTCAAAAACCGTCTAGACAATGGAGAAAAGGACCTATACATTGACTACAGAGCTGATTCCATCAAAAGAAAGTCACACAAACCACAACTCCACATCCAACCCCACCCCATCCAATCCAACATCACTCAAAACTAGGCACACATGCCCCTAACTACCTCTATTCCAACCACAACTGGCCTTAAATGCAAGCTGCTCAATGCAAGAAGCCTTGTAAATAAAATACCTCAATTTCTAAATATGGCTAAATTCGACATTGTATTTGTCTGTGAAACATGGCTCAATGCATCTCTCCCTGACTCCATTACCACAGTAAGAGACTATCATGTTTACTGATCAGATCATGGAATCTGTAGAGGAGGTGGTGTTGCTATCTTCTATAAAAAGTCCCTACATCTAAAAACATCCAAGTAACCCAGGAGCTTGCTATTCCTGAGACCATCGTCTGTGAACTGTCCTTAAATATCACATTTTGGTTCTTACTATGTTACAGAGCCCCTGATTATGACATCGAACATGCAAACAAGCTAAATACACTACTAACATGGGCAGCATCCTGCCCACACACGTTTATCTTTCTTGGTGACTTCAATCTACCTCATATTAACTGGACCCTTAATGAATGTACAACTGAACCCACACATGCAACCTTCTACAAAGCAGTAACAAATCTGAGACTGGAACAACTAGTAACCAACAACACTAGACTTAACAACTGCCTCGATCTCATTTTCTGTAATAGTTTGAATTCAATTTATGGAATACAAATTAAAGAACCCTTCTCCAACAGTGACCATAACATGATTTACTTTTGTCTCAACATACGTCCACACAAAAATCATCACCACGATGGAATCCCCAATTATAACTTCAAAAAAGGCAACTATGATCTTATAATCAATGATCTCCCTTCCCTTGATTGCTAATTTCTATTCACTGGATGCAATACTGTTGAAGACCATTCCAACATATTCTTACTAGAAATCAAAAGAGTCATCAAACTATATGTACCAATAACAACTCCCAAAACCAGGAAAAACAGATTACCCATAACAATAAGGAAGCTTCAATCCAAAAAGAAATCACTTTGGCGGAAAAACAAATCTGGTCACGTTGCCAACTTCAAAAGCCAATACAAAAATTCATGCCACCAGATAAAGACTGAATGCACCAATTATCACATTAAACAAGAAGAAAACCTTCTACGCACCAATTCCACCCGCGCTTTCTACAATTTTGTAAACAACAAACTAAAAGATTCAAGGTCCATCCTACCCCTGAAAGGACCTAATGGTAAAGACTGCAACGATGACACCATTAAAGCCAACCTCTTTAACACATTCTTTGGCTCAGTATTTGTAAACAGCAATGGATCATGCCCAGTATTTCCTAGTCAAACCACAGACAACTACAATGATCTAATACATATCAATTTTACAGAAGACAATGTTGAAAAAGCACTACGCAATCTAAAACCATCTCTATCTATTGGACCAGACAGAATATGTGCCTACTTCTTTAAAAAGCTATCCACTGCCATAGCCAAACCTCTAAGCATAATCTTTGAAAAATCTTTCAGGACCAGCTCCTTGCCAAAACTATGGTCACAAGCCACGGTCATCCCCATCTTCAAAACGGGAAACCCCAGCCTAGTTGAAAATTACAGACCAATCTCTTTATGCTGCATCACCTGTAAAGTCATGGAATCAATTATTAACCAATCCATTATCCTCCACTTAGAGACAAACAACCTACTCTCTAATAAACAATTTGGTTTCAGAAAAAAAACTATCCTGCAATCTGCAACTCTTACACTGCAAAAACATATGGACTACACAACTCGACCAGGGCAAAGCAATAGACACAATCTACATAGACTTCTGTAAAGCCTTTGATTCAGTGGTACAAGATAAACTACTCCTAAAACTAAAATCTTACAGTATATCTGGATACCTGCATAACTGGAAAGAAGCATTCCTGTCAAACAGACAACAAATGGTCAAAATTGGGAGCATCCTATCAAATTATGTACCTGTCAACAGTGGTGTCCCCCAAGGCAGTGTTCTAGGACCAACTCTCTTCATACTCTACATAAATGACCTCTGTGATCACATTAAGAGTAACTGCATTCTCTTCGCAGATGATGTAAAGCTATTCAACACCACAGACAATACTGCTACCCTTCAAAAAGACCTTGACTATGTATCAGAATGGTCAAACAAATGGCAACTTCAAATCTCAACAAACAAATACTCTGTCTTACATATTGGCAAAAAATATCCGAAAATAAAATACAGGCTGAATAGTCAAGACCTTGTTGATGATCCAAACTCTGTCAAGGTTCTTGGAGTACTCATCTCTAGTGATCTAAGTGCTAGAGCCCACTGTAACTACAAAGCCAAAAAGGCGTTCAGAGTTGTTAATCTAATCTTACATAGCTTTTTCTCTGGTAATATTACACTACTAACTAGAGCATACAAAACATTTGCTAGACCAATACTCAAATACAGCTCATCAATCTGGAACCCACATTACGTATCTGATATTAACACAGTTGAGAAAGTCCAGAAATATTTCACAAGAAGAGTTCTCCACTCCTCTACTCGTTGCAGAATACCTTATATGCCATCAGACTTGAAATTCTAGACCTAGAAAACCTAGCACTACGCCACCTTCAGTCCAATCTAAGTATAGTATATAAAATCATACATTGCAATGTCCTACCTGTCAATGAATACTTAAGCTTCAACCACAACAATACAAGAGCAAACAATAGAAACAAACTCAAGGTTAACCGCACCAAATTTGATTGCAGGAAATACGACTTCAGCAACAGAGTGGTCAATGTCTGGAATACTCTACCTGACTCTGTGGTTTCTTACCCAAACCCCAAAAACTTTAACCTTAGACTGTCTACTATTGACCTCACCCCTTTCCTAAGAGGTCTGTAGGGGGCATGCATAAGCGCACCAACATGCCTACTGTCCCTGTCCTATTGTTTCTTTTATTTATTTATTTATTTATTTTTTCTTATATGTATCCATGTATTCATAACTATGTTTTTACTTATACCTATTATCTTGTAAGCAATTGACAAACCAAATAAATAAAAAATAAAATAAATATTCTCAATATGGCACTTGTAATATAATAATTCCTAAATTTTACATTAGCCTTCACATTATCTACCATGAAAACCATGTCATCTGAATCTCAGTTCATGCCTTTCTAAGATATTTTTCTTCCTCAGCAAAATCTAGTTTTTCCTCCAGACTAAGCAGCAGGCTGCAGAGGGTAATTTCAAGTTAGGCAGATCAAATTCTTCTCATCCCTTTATATTTTAAAGTATTTTATATTTAATCCTTTTTCCCCCTTGACATACAAACTTAGACATATTTTTCTGCTAGTTTAAATGGTACATCAATATGTAATTCCATGTCTTTACATAATTATTTTCATATAATATACAATTAATAATAATCATAATGATACACAAGTATTTCTCTTTTTTCTCAGTGTTCTTTCCATCAATTAATATTATTTCTGATGTTAATCATTGTTGACATCTTTTGTTCGTTGATGTTAAAGCTAGCTAATGCTCCCAAATCTTTTGGGTTTTCATTAATATTTCTATTCCTTCCAGAGGATCTTCCAAAATTATCACCAGGTCATCTGCAAATGCCAGTAATTTATAAATTTCTTTTAAAATCTTCACTCCAGCAATTTTCTCATCTCATTTTATGTTTCTATTCAATACTTCCAAAGCTAAAATAAATAGCAATGGTGACAAGGCATCCTTATCTGGTCCCTTTCTATATCTCTTAAGTTTTTTTTAATCTTCCATTCACAATTATCTGTGCCTTTTGTGAAGTATACAGTAAATCAATTTACACATTAGATAAAATTATTTTAAAATACTAAACATGTTATCTTCAATCCAAACTTCATTGCATTCTCTATTTTAAAAAAATCTTTAAAAACTCATCATCCATCCTAACAGGAAAAGTCCATTACCACAAAACAACCTATGTATTATAAACTTAATCTAATAAACCTACTAAAATGCCTTCCTTTTACATGTATATCTCATTTTCTGTCATTAAACAAATCCTCCCAACCTTATCATTCAAATTTTGACATTAAAAAAACCAATGGAAGATAATAACATAACTGTTTTAACTTTGATTGGATAAATTTAAAATATAGCACATAAAGTTGCAGGATCCAATCTGGGTCAGACACCGGGAACAGAAGTTTTGTCTTCCGAGCTTTTGGATTCATGCTAGAGCCCATCTTCAGGGAACTTCTCTCTAGCAAACACATTCTGATAGAGAGAAATTCCCTGAAGTTAGGCTCCATGAATGAGTCTGAAAGCTTGGAAGACAAAATCTCTGGTCCCAGTGACCAACCCAGATTGGATCCTACAACAGCAAATAAAGTCTTTCTCATATAACACTTGTATAAGCAAAATTTTGAAATATCATCATCCAGTCCTGATCAGAAAAAGATCCCTTAAAATTTTCTAGAAATAGCAACCTATCTATTTTAACTTTGGTCAAATAAACCAATTTTATATTCCTTTTCCTTGATTCCAATAATCACAATGTTTACTCCATATCTTTCAAAATTTTAAACAAGAAAATCCAGTTCAAATTGTCAAAGGCCTTTTCTACATCAAGACAAATCAAGATTAACCTTCATCCAACTGTCCTGTATCTTTCCAATCTTTAAATAGAGTTCATTATATGTTGCAACACTTGTAGTAGGTGAACTTCAAATAATAAGAGGTTGGTAAGCCGTCTAGTCCAAATACTTTCCCTATTTTAACCTTTTTTATACCTTCACAAACTTTCTTTGTTGTCATAGGTGCATTCATTAATTACTTTTGTTTTTCTCTAATCTTGGGTAAATTTGGTTTCTTTAAATATTCATCCATTTTTGCCAGGAAATTTTCTCCTTCTTTATATAATTAGAGTAATATTGTTAAAATATTTTTGCATCTTCAAAATTATAAGTGATTGTGGTATTTCCATCTTGTTTTAATATATCAATTGTCAAAATAATATTAACTTCTTTTACAATGTTCCATTACTATTTCTTTCTGCAATGTTTTGTTTAACCTCCAGCTGAAGGGATGAGATAAAAGATGGTACTAAAATCATATTATGGTAGGAAAATGTCTTTGGCAATATCTCTATCTTGAGAAAAAGCTGTATTTCTTAGATATATGATGAGCCAGTCTCTTTTTCTCCAGGTATTGTTCTTCCTATTCTTGCATTGAAGTCTCCCATTAGTATTTTGTAATCAGCATTTTTCTTTGTCTTGCAGCTGAGCCACATTGTTGTAAAACTCTTCAACCTCATCATCATTATAGTTTATTGCTGGTATGTAAGCTTGAATGATTTGAAGCTTGTATTGTTTGTTCAATTGAATGATGCATTGGGCTACTATATCTGGTACACATTCAAATTTTTCTACAGAGTCTTTCAGCTTTGGGTTGATGAGAAAACCAACTCTGCCACATTATCCATCTTCTGTACCTCTAGTGTAGAGTAAATGCCCAGATTTATCAAGTTCAACTAAAATTTTGCCTTTTCATCATGTTTCACATAATCCAATAATATTCCAATGCATATTGTTGAGTTCAATCAGCAGTTCTAATCGAGCGTCCATTTTCATTGTTTGAATGTTGACCATTCCAATGTCCAAAGTCCAAAGGCAGTCTAATTTAACCTGGTGATTCTTAGCAACCTCTGCTTCTGGCAGGTCTTCCCACTGCAGTGGGTAGTTGCCCTAGGGCCTCTGGGGAATGACGGCCATTTTTGAGGTTGTATTGGCATGTGGAAGGAATAGACCATAATCTGCCACGCTGGTCCAATACAGAATAATAATGTTGTATATTATTCCTGACATTTATTTTCTGCATAGTGGTTACTAGTTATTGGGGATCAAAGATATTCAAATATCTTTAATCACTTAAGAATATGAAAAAATCTTAACTTCACATTTGTAAATTCCTTTTATTCACTTGATTCTATTTCTATTACTGATTTTTCTTATACACAAATATTTTTTTAAAAGCCAAATATAAATACTAATCATGGAAAGAAAAGAAAATAATTTGAGAGACCTTGGGGAAGGTAGGGAAATTAATTATCCTATGTCTACAATGAGTGTAACAAAAATCTTTCCTCGGGGCTTTCCCATTTATTTTAAATGAATGGATGATTTTCTCTAAAAGCAAACAGCAGTTTTGAAGGTGTGCTTTTATTAGCTTTTTATTAGTTAAAACTCCCCTCAGTACCCACTATGAACTCATTAGCTGTCATCTCTTCCTAGAATCTCTGTTTAACAAAAATGTGCCAGCTAAACATAAAAAAACTTTTATTGTTTAGCATCTATTGGTTACATTTTATTTTTTCAACAGATTTATATGGCTGCCTATCTTCCAATGGAATTCTGGGCAGTGAACAGAAAAATAAAAAAGTAATACAGTGTTCTATTTTGTACAAACCACAAAATCAATTAAAAGAATTATTTGGAGGTGTTGTAAGGAACACCTTTAAAATATGTCAGTTGCTATTCTCATAGAAACCTACATTGTTTTAATTTGTGGGGGGAAAATTGTTAGAGCAAAAAAGGGGAGAGGGAGAGAGAGACAGGGAAAGAAGGCTTTATAATATAATGTATCCACATAATTGCTTATTTTATCTATCCCTGTATTAAATATGTAGTTCAATAAACAGTCACAAATTTACTCACAAATATCTGTCTACATACCTGCTTTTCTGTTAGAATGACTCTCCCTAGAAGCTGATCTTCTAGGCCTTTCATGGTGACAGTAAAATCAATGATGGATGTACGAGCACTAATCTCAGGGGTATAGGCTGGATTTGGAAGCTTGGTGGTGATATAAAGTCTGAAGCCACTCATCACATCTATTTCTTTATCCCCAACTTTTACCTAATTAACAAAAACCATTCCAAAATGGATGTGTATAAGATGAATTGGACTCCTTCAAACAACTGGTAGATATTAATTAAGTATTCTTTTAATGTTGTGTAAATAAAGCACCATTAACATAATTAATAGGTAAGTAAACTTGCACATGTTGGCATAAAACACATAAATGACATTTCTAAAACCAATTCATTCCATATAAATTTCCATTTCTTTATCTGGTTTATAAATGGTAAGATTGTTGCTAATCTTCATTTTTTTTTTCTCTGCTGCTTATAGATTAAAGTTTAGAAAACTCTTTAATAATCATACAGACTTAAATCCTACATCTTAAAGCTGCATTCTGGGAATCTCTACTTTAAATTGTGATCATAAAAAATAATTGAAAAATAAGTTGATGAAGTAGAAGTCAACAAGTATGGAAGAAACATAAAAGGGAAATACTTATTTCTAGAATGAAAAGGATGCAGGCATTTAAGTTATCTCTCACATTTTAAATTGACATAGTCGTTCTACTATCCTTTTGTATCCCACTAAAGAGAAGGAAGAGAAATATCCCACTGAAGTTCCAGAATAAAAACTTTTCATGAAAGGATTTTTTTCAAGCATTGTACTATATAGCAATCATAAAAAATATAGTGGGTCACCCAAAATAAATGTAACAGATCATTTATCAAGATAGAGCAAAAATTAAAGACTGCTGCTGTAATCTATTCTCTTAAAGATTTCATGGTGACACCAAAGTCAAGGAAAAGAATTGTTCTTAAAAGTAGAAACTATAATTATGTATAAACTAGTTGGTTTTTTTGAAGTTGGAATGTGTTATTTTTCTCACTTTGTATGTGGAACCTGTTTTGATGAAGTTTTTTTCCAATACACGATCCAAAGCCGGATCCAACTCCTCACCAACATCTTCGATCAACAATGGCCTTCCAAGAGAGAGACTATCCTCCAAGTGGTTTCTAAAATACTTGTGATTCAGAGAAGTGATCTGAAAAAAAGAATCATAATGTTCATAAATTGTGAAAATGGATCACCAGCTGGAGGGTAGGGGAATGACATTGGATTTCAGTTGAAAAGAAGTAGCTGCTAAACTGAAAGTTTTATTTATTAGCTAACCAGGGTTAAAGATGAGTTTTAATCTCCAGGATCCAATCACAGCTATATTAGAGCATTATTTGTTTATGATGTGTTTAGGAAATTTATATTCCCCAATTTCACTCTTAAGAATTTCAAAGCAAGAATGTAATCCAATTAAGTTTTAAAATATGGAGCTTTTTAAAAAGTTAGAAACAACAGCAATTCCTATGCAAAAACCCAGCCTAAAAATCAATATTGCTGGTTTCCAAATGAACCAAAGTTAATTTTGGCAAGTAAAGTTCTTCATTACAGTATATTGTTCTGAAATAGTTCCAAGTACTCTCTCCACTGTTTTGCTGCTGTTCTGAATATGTTTACTTCCAATTGTGAGTATAATGCACTAGAATTTAATTCACCTGCAGCTCATTCCGGGTTTCTTTGTTCTTAATCCAAATCTTGCCCTGAGTTTGTGGATCAATCAGGAGAGGGTAACGAGCTGCCTTTGTGACAATGATGCCATTCTGAATTGATAGATCATCATTTGGCAGCCCTTGAAGGTTCCATTCACTGACAGTTGGCGCATCAATCAGCATCTCTGTGAGATTGAGATTGTTTCCAAATGGGATTTTCCGAGTTTTCATTTCTTTTTGCCAGCTGGTTAACAAATGATTACGGAACTCTTGATTGAAAGGACCAGAATAGGACAGAAAGGCTGTGGCCAGAAGTACATCCCCTAAATTGATATAAAGAAAAACCACATTAGACAGTGGTTGAATCCATTTGCAGTGAATATAAAAGCAAACATTCAGGCTAAGCTTTAAAAGTCTTGGTCATGTTTCACTATGAAATAGGCTGCTGGGGAACCTCTTGTTCTTTAAATATTTGATGACTGTATAGAAGAGAAAGCAGAAGAGCAGTGTATATAATGTAGATATTCTGACTAGATTTATGCCATGTTTTCTCTCTGTGAGCAACTTTCAGCTTAATGTGCTAAATCACACAGAGATTTCTTGCACCAGGACAAAGTAGGGCCAATTTCTTCTAGCTGATTTTGTTATAGCCATATGAAATGCATGCAACCGACAATCCCATTAGATGTATGCATTATAAAGGGGGGGAAAAACTCCATGTAGATGCAGTTCCATTGAGGACTACATGTTGAGTGTGGTTGGTCAGCCAGTTACAAATCCATCTGCTGGTGAAGCTGTCTAATCCACATTTTTCTATTTTATCAAGTAGTAGGTTATGATCTACTTTATCAAATGCCTTACTGAAGTCCAAGATTCTCAATCATCCAGGTCATGGCTGTCCCAAAGATGCTTTTTTCAAAAGGCAACTGGACTTTCTTTGTCTTTCCTTGAAAATGCTTCATTTCTCATCCAAGAAGCTTCTTCAGTTCAGACTGAAGCTTCTTGGATGAGAAGCAAAATGTCTTCAAGGAAAAACAAAGTCCAATTGCCTTTTGAAAAAGCACCTCTGGTACATCAGTGATTCTTATCACTGATCAGCAATCATTGATCAATGACCCCCCCCCCCTTCTCAGGGTTCTGCAAAATCGAAATTATTCACAAGCCTATGTTGAAAAATAATACCACATTAAAATTATATCAAAAAATTGTGACAAGCAGCAGCAGTGAATGCATTAATTTCAATTTTTAACATGGTAAACATCAATAAATATAACCTATACAAATAAAAGCTTTTTGGGGTAAGTGTGAGCATTGTAAGTCATCACTCAAACTACACAGTACTTGCTAACAAAAACTCTTTAAAGAAAACCAATGTCCGATTTAGATTTAGAAAGCTAACTTTGTTAGTCTATTTCTTGCTTGTATAACCATAATGTTGGCAAATTGATAGTGACATGTTATTTCACAACACGGAGTAAATCTCACCCTTCAAGACATAATTTTAGCATACAAAAGTTCCTATCAACACAATGTCATTATTTATCAAAATAACAGAGGATTCCCTGCTGCTTTTAACACAAAAGAGTGAAAATAAAGAGCAACACAATTTACATGCTTGCAGTCTATACTTGCTGAAAAATACTCAATGCAGTTTATAGTTTTATAGAAAGGACAATCCCTTCAGCTTACCCACAAGCCTTTTTGTTTGGGCTGCAAATTCTTTACTTTGTTCAGTCCATCTCTCTTTTTCACCAGCCAAACCACTAATAAGACTGGAAGCAGTCTGCATTTTATGCCTGCAGCGTTCTGCATCTTCAAGCAATGTCTGTTCAAAACAAAAATTAATATACACAAATGGTAACTATAGCCAAAAACTATAGATAATAATGCTTGAAAAGAGAAGTACAAATCCTATCTATTGTACTTCCAGCAAATATAAATATCCTATTGTTTCTAATAACTGTCAGTGCACCTGGACTTATTTATTATAAACAATTGGGACATAAATTTTACCCTTATCAGAAGTCTGACAAAAGACATATAAAATAGGTCTATCATGAATCCAGACCTCACATTAAGATAGATATTTGACTAAGATCCAGATGGCCCCAATCATATTAGTCCTTTGAGGCTTTTGTAAGGCTCTAAAAACCTGGCCTTTCCCCCAGGCCTTTGGGCAAGTTAGATGGTTATGTGACTTTGTACTAAGTAAATGGTAAGGAAGAATAACCTCAAAGAACCAGAAGAATAGCCACAGCTAAAACAAAAGTCAGATAAAAGAAATCTGATTTTGAGCCAGAATTGCAACCTGAGAAAACATCTCAAATAAGTCCCTCTCTACTTCTTATAATAAAAGGAGGGAAGAAGAAAGCACACTCATACTTGCAAAATGTTGTTACTCTAACATGATAATAGAAGTAGTATTAACATGCCTCATTTTGGTTTCTGAGTTTGGTCTATCTTGAAGAGCTGACATCAGGGTATCATAGGTTATATACGGTTATGGTGGTTTTAATTTTTGTATGTCACCCCAATTCATTGCTGGGAATTGGGTGGCTTTATTTAAACAAATACATAAATTATTAGAATATTTTGGAAGCTAGATAGCTGAACTATCTTTCCAAATGACCGGAAAACCATTTTTTTCTTGCACTTTTGAATGACTCAACATGAACTCTTTGTGGTAATATTTTCTTTACCTTTTGACAAACCAGCCAAAGGGAATGGCTATACAAAAGTATTGCCTGTACCCTACAGGAAGTTACCTGTTTCTCCAATGTGGCCTTTTCATATTGAGCCTGCACAATATCCAGTTCAGCTTGCTTGGCATCCAGTTCAGCTTGGGCTTTCTGAAGATCTAACATGGCAGTAGTCAGACGATTCTCCTGGATGGCCAGATTTGCCTTAAAATATCAACCCACCATATTTAAACAAGGGAACTTTGATGCACACTGTGTATTTCTTCAATAACAGCAACCAAAGAAACATGAACAAAAGCTTATGATGAAGTAAATTATTGATACAGACAGAATTGTTGAATTAGTATTGCTACAACAAAATATTTATCATTGTCATATGCCATACTAATGCAAACAAAGACATTGGCATCATGGCTGTTATACGCCCAAAAAGAGGAAAGAGGAAAATATACCCACAATGGAAGAATGGATTTTAAAACTAACAGAACTAGCTGAAATGGCTAAATTTCTTGCAACTTGGAAACCACTGCTTGATTTCTTAAATGATAAGGATAAATTTTATCATTTAACTTTGGGATTTGAAGATTAGATTGGATTGGACCAGAGAAATATTGTAGCTTTTTAAACATAAAACTATGTATATTTGACAAATCAATATCTGTTAAAGTTAAGAGAAGAATAGTTTACGAATATTGTTATTTGAGAGTGTTGATTAGTAGGATTTTAAGAGAATGGTATATCTGTTTAAATTTAGAAATTTGTTCTATTTGAGAGGGAGGGAGGGAGAGAAGGAGGGAGAGGGAGAGGAAGAGAGAGATAACAACACAAACAGGATTGATAAATATGCTTCTCTCCCTGCAGGCCAAATTTATAGTCTTTTTTATAATTAAATCCCTCTCTACCACATAAATATGGCAGGATTGCCATATCAGTTGAAGCTTGGAAGTCTAGACTTTCCAGTTGAGAATGTACCTGTAGTTTTTGTTTGTTTGTTTAAAGTGGGGAGAGAGAAGGCAGAGGTGAAAGAGAATTATTTGAACATAAGACTAAAGCAACCCTTTCACCTATTAAAAGCTTCCATTGTCCCCAAAAGTAGGACCAAACATGCTGATGGACTGCATTTGGCCAAAGGGACGCATTTCACACTAAATCAAAACCAAACAAATCTCATTATAGCTTAGTCCAGCATATGATCCCAGTTTAAAATTGTAAATTGTGTTGATATAGTTTTATTCTGCCTTGCCAACTATATTGAATTTACCTTTAAAGGTAGAACTTCCTTATTTATAGCAAAGAAAGAAGCCATTGCTTTGGTCCATGAGCAAAGACCAGCCACATTTCCACAAACTCTCTTAGCTGTCTCAATATTGTAATCTGCCATTTCAAAATAAGGACTCAAGAGCTCCACTGCTTCTTCATTAATTGTGTCTTTTGGAAATTGCTAGAAAAATAGAAAGAGATATTTTTTCACTTACCCAAAATAAAATTAAAAATACAGCTGTTTAATTTTCTAAACCATATTTTCTACAGAATTTGCATTCAAAAAGTTATTAATTTTGCCATGCTACTATTTGTGCTCATGAAAGCTTGTCTATTTAATTTGTACTTTTCTGGTCCTTACTGTGCCTGGATTTTAAACTATTGCCTGTTTATACTACTGCCATCTTTAATAAGTGCTGGATTTTTCTACAAGAATTATTGGGCAGCAAAATCTCTACGAACATTTACCCAGAAGGACGAAAGACAGAAATAAGAACAATCTTTGAAATTTCTCTCTCTGTGTACTTTTCATATTAATTGGTCATCAGATTGTTCTGGACAAGCTGCAGAAAGCAGCAATGAAGTCTCTCAATAATAAATATACCAAATCCAGACTAAAGCTATATTTATTACACATTCATATCTTGTCCGGCCTTATCAAAAAATTGTTGGTTATCAGTGCTTTTTGGTATACCTGCAAATTCTGTAAGAAGTTTCCTGCTGTCATCAGTTTCAAGGACTCCTGCCATGATGGCATAATGCAGTTTTTCTCCAGGTCTAACTTAGTAACATTTACTTTCTTCTGGAATAGCAGCAACACACAGTCCATGATACGCATGATAAGGTGAGGTGGCCGACCCAGCGTACGGACAGTGGCAATGTCTGACGGCTTGATTGTCTACATTATTGAAAGGATGAACAGAATTAGGAATTATCATAATATTTTTAAGTGCCTGAACAAAATCAGCAGGCTTTTTATTTAAAGGCATTTCATGGTGGGTTCAACATCAGCTGATTATACCAAACTACTATATATTTAGAAATTAAGGTAATTAACAATTCACAGTTGTTGTTAAGCCAGGACCATGATGAGCAGCAAATCTTGGTATGTATTGATCCATACTTTGCATAAAATCATTTAAGACATATCCTATCATACCAGGTAATGGCGCCTAATCAGCCTTGGTGTATTTCAAGGAATTAGACAGGATCAGATATAGTAATATTTGGATGGGAGGCTAACAGGAAACCACAGCTTGTAGGCTAAACAGTGACAAATCATGTTCTATGTTGCTGCCAATAACATTATATCAACATGTCCATGTAACAAGGAAGTTTTTGCCTTATTTAAAATTATTTTACAATAGCTAATATGAACATGGGCATGTGCACACACAGAGAGAGAAACATTTGTAAGTCTGCTTATGAGATTAGCTGATACAGATTAATAAAATAGAATTATAATAATAGTTTCAACTTCTGCCTTCAGCTGCTCTGAAGTGAAATGATTATTGTAGTTAATATGGTTGCTGGAGAACAAAACCTATTTGGTATAGGTAAATAATGTTAGACGCTATTCTCCAGACTGTGATCATAATATATATATCACATCATTTCTCCATGTTTCTGTATCAGATGGTAGTTCTATTTCTGTTAAATTACACAAGCAGTGGTTATTTGAATTGTTGTAGCCTGCAGTCAATTCATCTAATGCTTTCTGCCAAGTGGCTGATCTATGAGTTATAAAGTGTGAATGCAAATCAGTCATTTTACCTAAGTATTGACAATGACTCCTTGGAAGTTTATATTTAATAACATTAATTACATTACATTAATTAATTACAGTCCCTACAGGGGACTGCCTAATATATGAAAATCCTGACAATCTTTAATATTGGTTGACTTCTTGAAAGAAGGTGGTGATGCAGCATTTGGACTCAGAAGGATGTGATTAATTCCTTCCAATAAACTCAGTTCATTGGTACTCTGTGTAGATTTTAGTAACTGTAGGATGCTATGACAGGAGGTATTTTTTTCTACTTCTTTGACATGTTTTCACAAATAATAGATACCTTTCCTGTTAAGTTGGAGATTGCAGGATCTATCACCAATGCTATGTGTTATCTTCTTTTTGTAAATTGTTTTCATACTTGAGGTCCATTCTCTGTGTGAAAAGTACCATATATACTCGAGTATAAGTCGACCCGAATATAAGCCGAGGCACCTAATTTTACACAAAAAACTGGGAAAACTTATTGACTCGAGTATAAGCCGAGGGTGGGAAATGCAGCAGCTACTGGTAAATTTCAAAAATAAAAATAATTAATTTGGGAAACGATCTCACTATCATGAAAGGTTTAATTGATTCACTAACCCAAAAGAAGAAGATGATGATGACAGCGGGAGGCAGGAGTCACTCTCTTCCCCTCCCTCGGAGGCCCCCTGAGTCAGGAGTCACTACCGCCGGCGCGGCCCCAGTCCCGCCGCCTCGGGAAGGGAAAGGCAAAGCGCTTTTTGCCTTTCCCTTCCCGGCTGGGGCTGTTGGGAGTCGCTGCCGCCGGAGGCCGCGACTCCACACCATTTTTTTTTCAGAGGGGAATCTGACTCGAGTATAAGCCGAGGGGGATTTTTTCAGCACAAAAAATGGGCTGAAAAACTAGGCTTATACTCGAGTATATACAGTATGTTTTACACATAGAGACTAAACTCCAAGTACGGGGGAGGGGAGGAAATCTGTGCAGCTATTGTAGAAATCAAGGGAGTGGGGGAGGGAATGACATAATTTCACCCATGATGGGAAAGGGAAAGGAGGGAGCCCACACATTAGAGTTTCCAATCTGAGGTATATTTCTGACAGGACAGCATATCTGTGCAAGACAGACTGTGGATTCGCCTTTCATTCTTCATTAACCTGTAAAGCAGCTTCGGCTTCTTCTAAAGCAGGTTTAGCAGCCTCTAATTTTTCCTCAGCAATAGCCTTGTCTGCTGAAATGCTGTCTACAATAGCCTCCGCTTTGTCCTTCACTTTCTGAACTTCGGCTTTCACCTTTTCAGAAGCCTGAGCTTTCACTGTGACTTCTTTTAACACCTATGGAGGACATTAAAAGAAAAAAGAATGAAAGAAAATAAATGGAGAAACAAGTAACTAAGGCTGCAGAAAATAATTCTTTGCCAAGAGTTTACATTATACTCAAGAGTTAGCAAAGTGCTTTGGGTTTAGTAAACAAGCAGTGTGAGATCCCACTAGTGGCAACCTAATGTTTTTTTACACAATATTTACGCTTACCATTTTAGGCTGTCTGAGCCCCATGTAGGCAAGACTAGGATTTTTTTTGTGGGTTCTTAATTTTTTTATCTGTGTTATATGCGTGTTTTAGGACTTATAATGCAACTTTTTTCTGATTCTTGTTTCAAAATAGCCAAGTATTCTGGCATCCAGAGGCAGAAGGACTACAGATGGAGGAGGCCTAAGGGTATGTATATGATGTGGCCTTTTTATGACCAACAATACCAAGAATCTTCAACGTATCATAACTGAAATTCAGAAAGTTAACATGTGTAGAAGGGCACAATTAGGAGATGTCCATTCACTAATTTTCTTCCAGGTTTTCCCCATTAGTAAAAGAGTTGAAATAAACACACAGGACTTTACCATATCAGCTTTTTCATTGGCAATCTTAAGTTCTTTCTCTTTGGCTTCCAGCTCTTTACTCAATGCTGCCACAGATTCAGAAGCCTCTTTCAGTTTCTCCAATCCAGTATTCATTCTGAAATATATAAAACCAACTTTGAAAAAAATATATCCCAAAGCATAGAACTTCAGTAGACTAGAAACAATATTTGAATATTCCCTTTCACTGCAATAAAATGTGATCCCAGAACTATTTATGGCCTTTGGTTTAATTTTATAAAGCATAATTTCACAATAGCAATAGCACTTAGACTTATATACCACTTCATAGAGCTTTACAGCCCTCTTTAGTGATTTACAGAGTCAGCGTATTGCCCCCAACAATCTGGGTCCTCATTTTACCGACTTCTGGAGGATGGAAGGCTGAGTCGACCTTGAGCTTTTCTGGATCAAACTCCTGGCTGTGGGTAGAGTTATCCTGCAATGCTGCATTCTAATCACTGTGCCACCAAGCTCTTCACAAACCTTCTAAAGCAACCAATTCAGATCTCTTAAACATATATCACTCCGTTAGCAGTACTGAGACTAGTTATTGAGTTTAGTTATTTGGCAAGACAATAATTGACTATAAGAGTATCAAAACAACACACCTGTGAGCTAAGGTCTGCACCTCAGCATGTTTTTCTTTGTATATAGCTTTATATCCTTGAATAAAGGACAAATAAGACTTGGGAGTCACATGGGTAGATCGACGATATCTTTGAAAATAGTCAACACATTTTTCAGCAACTCCATCTTGGAAGGAGCCCATGCACTGCACCATCTGTTTTTTGATATCTTCAGTGCAATCAATTTCATATGATGACAAGAAATGTTCTGATACTAAAATGAGATTTAATGCCTATTAGTATAAACAGTACTTCATTCTCTGGCAGAAGAAATTTAGGATGACTTCTGACTTATTTCTTATTATTCTTCCCCACCCCTCCATCTCATTCATTGTCATGGACTTTTCTTCTTCCTTGAAAGAAACAAAATCAACTTTCTGAGCTCCTCTGACATGCACACTTGACAGAGAACTAGGTCAGTGGTAGCTAACCTGTTTTGGGCTCCTGTGCTGAAAACTGTGTGCGCGCTCGCGCTAGCGCATTCACATGCCAGCACCCAGAAGACAAAGCATGTGACCCATGCTCCCTGCACATGCACACGCAGTTCTACCACCACCACCACCCCATTACCTGCGCTGTGCATGCATGTGCCTCCCAGCTGATTTTTGGCCTCCCAGAGGTTTGAGGGAAGCCTCTGCAGCTTTTGGAGGCCGAAAAACAGGTCCGTTTTGTCACTTCCAGTATTTCCGGAAATACAGGAAATGATGAAACAGGCATGTTTTGGGGCCTCCAAAGGCTGCAGAGGCTTCCCTCGAGCCTCTGGGAGGCCAAAAAAAAGGCCTCAAATGGGCCAGAAATCAGCTGGGAGCCGTGCACAGGTGCAGTGAGGTAAGTTTGGCTGGGGCTCGCGTGCCCCTACAAATGGTTCTGTGTGCCACCTGTGGCACGCATGCCATAGGTTCGCCATCACGGAACTAGGTGATATTCAGAGGAATTCCAGTGGGCAGGGAGTCAACATGGTACTTACAACCTCATGATTGAAGCTTGCCCATTTTTTACGTATTTTGTGTGTACACTGTACATCAAAAGAAGCAGGCTTCAACTGCATGAGCATCTTGATTGTTTGACATGCCTCTTACTGCAGATACTCTGGATGATCTCAAAATTAGACCCATGACCCCACACACTCTAATATATTGATATATGCAATAACATTAAACCATTGCTAACTATATGACTTTCAAGGCAAATGCAAAGGGAGCTGAATGGTTTTAATTGCCAAAGTAATTGCAGTCTTGATATATTTTTCTTTTCTTTTTGATGCAGGAGGTTTGACATTATTATTCCTGCTCTTTCTCATTTGTACATCACAGGATCTCTGCTTATCATCTCAGAAGTGAAATGAGCTTATTTCTTTTTACTGATGGGTAATCCTCCTTCTGTAATTATTGGGAGCAAAGCTAGTATTCTTGTCTTGATGGAATTAAGAATCCCCTTGCTTTAGGAATAAGTAAGTGGGCCTCATTTAATTTTGTCATTTGCATTTCGCACATCAAATTATCTGTTTCAAAGAAAGACATTCCACTGCAGTATGCTTTCTCAATCATTAATACTTCATATGTGAATACAGAAAAGTCTCTATTATCATCACTGAAATGTCATCAACACAGTAATTTCCTTGTATAGCCTTATTCTAAGGCTACTCTAATTTATCCAAAACTTTTCAAAGTCTTGCCAGAATGTAAAAATAGAATATTATCTTCAAAATTTAAATGTATTAAGTTTTTTTTTCTCTGGAATGGGAGAGGAAGATATAACCAATGAATATGCATCAGAGCAATCCTCAAAATAGATTCTGATATAGTTTTGCTTCAACACCTTCTCTATTCTACTCAGTTTTTAAAAACTGACTTCACAGTAAGCGATGTACTACAGAAGATATTTTCATCATGTTAAAACTACTGACAAAGTTATAATCTTTTCCAATAGTCAAACATCTCAAAACTCACCTGCAACTAGGGCATCTTTCGGCCAGCGGCTAAACCAGTCTATAGTGCAACCAGAAATGAGTGCAGGGAACTTCAAAGCTCTGTTTCGGAATTTTTCACCCACTGGTGAAAAACAAAGAACCACATGCAGGTTCTGGCGAACTCTAGTCATGAAGTAATCATATACATTCTCATTGGTGGGAGGACGTCGTGGATGCTCCCTCTTCATAACTGGAATGAGATCGCCAATGATTTCATCCATTTCATCACGAGCAAACAAGTTGGAAACCTATACAGGAAGAACATTTTTATTGTCCCCCACATATAGACAGCTTTTTTTAAAAAGGCATTTAGTTACCTTTATATGAATAATTATATGAACAATTCATTCATATAATACCAAAAGTTGATTCTATTCATTTGAAATGCTGAAGTTAAGAGCTCATTGTTAAAGTGTTTTATGACTTTATAATTGATAATTAAAGCATTTTAATTATAATCCATTCATTGCTATTTTATTGTTAGCTCCTTTGAATGCTAGTTTATGGGGGAAAGTAGGATATGCCAATAAAATATTCACATTTAATTTTCCTTTCTCTTCCCTTTTATTCTTAAAACCTGTGGCCAGATGTTACTGAATTACAACTCCTAATCTGCTTTGGTAGCTAAGGCTTCTGGGAGATGATTGTCAGTAATATTTGGAAAGTGACAACTGGCAATCTGTGTTTTTGCTTTGCCCTAGAAATAAAATATTCTCAATCTGTGTGATTCTACTGAAGATTTTCTCCAAGTCTGTCTTTACTGATTTATTGTACCTTAGTAATAAACTAACTAAAGATCAAGAGCTTGATCTGCTCTATATTTACTCAAAAATCAGTATTCAGTGGGTAAGTTTTTTCATTAGCTGTGAACTCAAGCATAGAACTACAGAATCAGTCTGTCACTACAACTTTATCAGCCAAGCTCTCGGTTTCTGAAAACCCAGGGCTATATCAATGCCAAGAAGAAAGATGAAAATCCTACTTCTCCTGATGATAGAACATTGTTCATATACTCCAGGAAAGCTTCATCTTTTATTTCATTATCTGTAAAAATGAAACTGATTCCTTTTCCTTGCTGTCCAGCAGTCTTATACAGATGTTTCAAGTCTTCCATCAAATTAGATGCATTGTAGGATCTAGAAAAATGAAAAATGAAATTGTCACAAACTTCCTAGACTACAAATAATTTTGATTGAAAGAAGATGCCCTAAAACGAGAACAATTTATTTTGGCCTTTCTGCTCAGTGCCTGTTTTAGGGGTTGTTGCTTTTAAAAATATGTAGTATATCTACATGGTTATATCTATGCATTTTAATGCTCTTCACTATTTAATTTACTGGAATACACACACACACACACACACACACACACACACAGAGTATGTGTTTGTTTACGTGTGTGTTCTCTTAAATTTAGAACTATGTTTTGCATTACTAAATTGTCAGATAGGTAGTCCTATACAAATGTCTATGTATTCTTTCTTTTTCCAGGATTGTAGAGAAAATTAGTTTTTTGTTGCTTCATTTTTAAAAACACACACTTTGAATGTGTTCTAGATAAGAGTTAAAATTTCCATTGCCTTTTCTTTATTATTTTCCTGTAGTATTGACTAATATTCATCCTATAACCATTTCTAGAATTTGAGAGAGTTTTCATTCAACCAAATCAGGAAGGCAAAATAGTTCAAAAAACAGGTTAATGATTATGTAAACCTATATTTCTTAACATTAGAACTAGTACAGTAATATATTTTACATGTTAATTATTTGATATTTTTTTTTACAAATTAAGCATCCATGCTGATACTGTGTTTTATTCAACAGATTACCTTGTTAATGTGATCTGGAACATATCATAGCCTGCAATGAATGATGCCAGTTTTGTCAAGATTTGCTTTCCAGACCCTCCAACTCCAACAAGTAGGGCATTTCCTCGGGGAGTGCGGATCACACGAGAGATCTACAAAGTACAGCACCATTTTGTTGGTTGTATGTTTAGAATAACACAATGTTAAGCAGATAGTTAATAAGTTCCTGCATTGCACCACACCCATAATTCTGGTAGCACAATGATGATCTCAGGCTTTGCATTGATCATTCCATAAACTCTTTCCAAAAATATAAGCTCCAGGTTTGGCCATAGACAATTTGCTTTCTAGTATCAAGGATAAAGTAGTGCTTCTCTTTTTCATTGAAGTCTATGAATTAGCATTTGAATCCGTACTGAGATGGCCAGCATCTTCTATCACATCCAACGTAGAGAGTCTAGCTTAAAATAACATGATCAAAAGCTGGAATAGTGTATAAGCTGGACTGATTAATTGCTAATGGGAATCTTTCCTCAAAGCCCACCTGTGATAACTGTTCAGGCTGCTAACACCAAAAAACTGTCATTACTTATATAATGAATCAGTGCAACAATGCAGGTACTGATTACTATTTTAATACAAACAATTTTACTGACAAGGAAGATCATTTGGGTTTGGAAGTATATTTTGAGTCCTTATTTGCATAGAGTTTTCTTTCTCAGAAAAGGGCATAAGACCAGTGTCTTCTGTTCTATGGAGGTTGCACTAGTATACTCAAACTCTGAGGACTCAGGCACCAATCTCTTCAAATTGTCACAGTCATCTTAAGAGGCCCTAGACATTAAGCATACTGTACTGTCCACAGAAGACGTCTGATTAAATGTAGTGGCAGAGGTAAGCTAAAACATTACTAAAGCAATATCACAATCTATTCATTGCTGAAACAATGATTTATTTCTGCTTAGCTAAAAATCTCTCTTCTAACTACCTCAATCTGACTATCTTTAAAATAAAAATAAAAGCTGTGCCTCATAGAGACTAGAGCAAGACTGCTGACTGAAGTAGAACCTTACAGGAATGACAGGTGAATTAGAGACAATCATGATTGTTCTTGCCCCCTATAATCTGCCACCAAGATAGCCATCATATGCTTGATAGTAGGGCTGGTCCTGGTCAACCTTCATCCCCATCCTTAGTACAGTTAGTATTTGGTAAAAAATGAATGAGTCTACTTCTCACTGATGTCACTTTTACATAGTTATACCCACAATATTGTTACTCTCTACATCTGCCTTTTTTTTAAAAAGTGGTAGTCTTGGGATACCAGCCTTAATAAGAGCAACCTATAAGCTCTCATATTTAGCATTTCTACAAAGTCTAGGACAATATCCAGCATCGGCCTTTCTCCTGCAGGTGACTGGATGCAGGATGGATAATTTTTTAACTTCAAATGAACGTACAATAATTTTGCAAGAGAGATTTTTATTGGAGGAATGGGGATAAATGCCTTTTGTTTCCTTTTATTGTAAAAAAATAGAGATGTTCATTTTTACATCAATTCAGTTTCTTACACTTTGACAGATTTGTCATTTAGTTCCCTAGTGTTAATACTCTGATCATGAAAGCAGTATTCTCTGGAACTTTTTAGAGTATACATGGGTAAGACTTCATTCAAGAAAGTTTCACTAATCACATCTGAATATTGTTAGAATTTGTGCAGATGAAACGAATGGATTATCCAAAGTTCAATTCAGGCATCTGAAATCACCAACACCTAACTAAAGCAATTGCCATGTCCACTGATACCTTAATTAAGTGAATCATAGCATCGGTAAAAAACACCAAATCCATTCCTGCCCCACGGATACTCTCATTATATATTTGCAAAAACATGTTCAAACGGTCCTTCAGGGTGCCAAAAGATTCAATGGGTTCATATATTTTAGGCATGTCAACCTCTGCTTCCTCTGGTTCTTCTCCTATAAGAAAATAACACTTCCAATTAGTATGAATTTGTGTATCATTCCTGTGTGTCTTCTAATGTTAGAGTCTACTTGCTCCTGAAAAACAAAGGGCATTAAAATGCGTGAATATTGATGACTACAAATGCAATAGGTGACAACAATGAGAAGCAGTGCATAAGAGTAGTATTTAGCAGACTTCCAGCTTAATGGCCTACCTAATTAGTGAGAAGAAATAGAAATTTTAAAAGCTGTCATTTTGGCTGTTGGTGCAGTCATGCAGCTGATTAGCTCCTATGTACTTTGCCTGACCCAAGTGGATGTGGCAATATTTTCCCCCTTTTTCGGGGATTTAAATTAATACACTGAAAACTTGTGTTTGTGTGGTTTAAGAAGGAAATGTGGCTCTTAATTAATACAAGCATGCCAAATTTTTCACATTTAAAATGTTTTGAGCCCAGAACCTCCTAGTTTGGTCCAGCCTTGAAATGAGTTTTTTTTTTTAAAAAAAAAAAAAAAGTCTGGACTTTATTCAGTCATTTTGGAAGAATGACTGTTTTGAAATTGGAATGGAACTTTGTTTATTTCAACTCTGAAGAATTTTGAAGACTTGTATTAATTAGTTACGTAAGTTTATAATGCTTCCTGAAAGAAATTCCCCTACATCCAATCACTGAAGGTATACACATATTTCTCCCCATCCAATTATACATAGCAGTGCACAAGCAAATTAACCAAACTATTTCTTCCTTGCATTCTCTCCAATTTGTCCCAGTTGGCTGCTTTCTCTGGAAGAAAATATAATTTAATATCATATGCCAAAATATATGTTCCAGAGTCCCAATTAATCTCAACTCTTATGTAATACAATTTTTTTCATGGCATGATATTACTTCTCATCTTAGAGTTTGGAAATTACTGAGAAGAAATGATAAGAGACTATACTGCACCTACTGCAGTAGGAAAAGCAAGAACTACAAGATGTGTAAATTAACAATCCTCAACATTTCTGGATTTGCGAACTGGTAGGGAGAGGAGAGAAGGGAGAGGGGATGGATACGTGTGATCGACGAGCAAGCACTTGTGTGTGTAGCTTCAGACACACACCTGCTGCTTGCACAAATGGAGCTGCACGCACATGCCCACTGTTCACATAAGTGGAGCTGCATGCACACGCCAGTTCCAAATAGGCCAAGGCCCAGTTGTGGGCTGTGGCCTGGGGGGTTGGGGCAGGGATGGGATTCAAATTTTTTAACAACCGGTTCTGTGGGTGTGGCTTAGTTGGTGGGCGTGGCTTGGTGGTCATGTTATTGGCCAAATCAATATCACTCACATCGAGGCACGCATCTCCTCACCTGGCCTTTCATGACTGTGGGGATGCTGCAACAGTCGTAAGTGTGAAAAATGGTCATAAGTCACTTTTTTCAGTGCCATTGTAACTTTGAATGGTCACTCCACACAAGCAAAGTACCAACAAGGGAGGGGGAAAAAACTCCAGAGAAGTTCCAGAGACAGGAAGTCTAGTCCTGCCAAGAATGTAATAAGGGTTAATGGAGAGGCAGTTTCTAGAAGCAACACCAGAATGTTTCCTTCCTGCCTTCCTTACAGGATTAGGCCAATAATTTCTTCTAACAACCGGTTCTCCGAACTGCTTAGAATGTTAACAACTGGTTCTGGCGAATAGGTGTGAACTGGTAGAAACCCACCCCTGGGTTGGGGGTCCCTGGTATAGATGACTTGCTAGGAATGGAGAAATTCCTGCAGCACCTTTGGAGAAACTGGAAGCCACACATGCTGAGTTGTATATTGTAACCACTATGTCTATAAAAGTGAGCCATTAAAAAAAAGCAAACATAGAAAGCAAGACTTTACATACAACAATTATTTCCATGCATTCCGATCATGTTCTTATAACTCCCTCCTAAAGTGAAGACTTGGCCAATTAATTTCCCCTCTTTATGAGAAAATGCCAATACACCTTGATTTGTGGAAGAAGCTCCTGAACATAGGAGTAATGCTTAGCAATATGAATACTAGTGTAAGAGAAAATATTACGAAGCATATTTGCAAATTCAGAGAAGGACATCCCTAATGTGACGCTCAGCCATTTTTCACAATGCCATACTTGCATACTACGTAAACCAAAATTAATTTAAATAAAAAATGCTTTGCGCTAAAATAGTTTTTGAGCCATGCAAAACAAAATGCTAGTACTACAGTTAATTGCTCAAAGTAAATTCATCTCAAAAGCTGAATCAAACATTAAAGCACCTTCAATAAAATTATGTAGTGCTTTTTTCTGACAAAGGAAAGGTTTTTTAAAATGCCAATTTCAAGTCTTTTAAGATTTTTTTTAATGCATTATGACAACTGCTTTACCAACTATTTTATCCTATGTTGAGATTATATTTTCATATATTGTTTATAAAGCTGGAATATTTATATTTGCTCAACAACATCCCAATGCTTAGTTTCACCTTTATCAGATTGCTGGTTCAACTATTGAGAAGCACGCTATATATCTAAGAAATTATTCCCCATTAGACTATGTATTAAAGCAAAATAGAAATAAAAATGATTAACTTGTCTGTAACTAGCCGTGCTTGGTACATCGATATCTATGAAATTAAAGATGAACTCCTAAGTGCAGAACTCAAACTCTTAGTAGAAATGAGGCAAATCTGACAAGATCAGATGCCTCTAACTTACCTTGGAGAGACTTTTCCTTCAGACCTAGTATGAAATAAAATGTGTTTCCATTTAAAGAAAATATATAACTTATTTCTTACAATGGATTGTTTATACCTTTCCTACTTATTTCTAGAAGATACGGATTTATCAAATGGTGTGGAAAATACTGTATCAGTTCTTTCTCATGACTCATATCAGCGAGAATCCATACATGTTCTCCTAGAAGGTATTTCCTTTACATATAATGACAGCCATTTTAAAACATCATGTACAGGGACTAAAATCCAACCGTACACTGATCACAAGTCTGAATTTACTGGAAGTCTTTTCAAAGTTAGTATCCTTGGAACTATACATTCTGGATTAAGTGGTGGTAATATCTTACCTTCTGCAACTGGAATATAAAATAGACTAAAGACAGACTTAGTTTGAAGCTCATACTGTCAGCAACTAGTGCAAATCAACCTGTTCTTACTTCTGTCCCTTCTAATCATCTCAAATCTCAACTGCTATGCATAACAATCATCCATAATGTCTCTGGGCAAATGCTTCTTCTAATATTCACACTTTAAAGCTACTGAGGAAATGGGTATAACTAAGCAGATCTTTATGGAATGGTGCATACCACATCAGTAAATAAATCTGGAGGATTTCTGACAAATTGTATATAATTCATGGGAACTAATTGGGACCTCTTCTATTGGGAAAGTATTGGTTTATCCAGTCTTATGTAAACCAGGTTTGGATAATTCCTTAGCTTGTCCCTGTTTTGTGGGTTCAGCGGTGACCATTTTTATGCCGCGCATATTAAAACAGATTTTATACACATTAGCAAACACAGTTTTAAACAGATTTTATAGACATTAACCTGGGCATGCTGATTACAAAATATTCAGTTTCCAGCATGGAAGAAAGGATAGACTTCCTCCCAAAGCTGCAACCTCTCCTGCAAACAATTCTTTCTCCTCCACCACTTCAATTAAACTTTGTAATTAGCTATGAGGTTTTGAAAGTATAACTGTTCTGCATTTCCAAGCCAAATCTATTACTTCCTTGTATGGTACTAATATCAGGCACATATTTTTTTTCACTTCTAGATTAAGTTTACCTGTTGCTTCAGGTGCATCTCTTAAGAAATCAACAAAGAAAGCTTCCTTATTGAATGCCACTAGTGCTGCCTTATCGCTACCAAGTTCTCCTTCAATTAGCTTTGCCAGTGCCAGATCAAACCACTCCACGTCCTCGGGAGTTGTAAAACGATCAGCGATAACACGCTTACATTCATGCTTCCATAGCTTAATGAGCACCTGTTCAGAGAGAGAAGAGAAAAATAACTGTATGTAGCTTCACCATGTTGGAATCTGCAACATTCAAAATAGATACGTCTCATACATATTTATTTTGAAAAGGATGCTGCATGTGATTATTTTGTTACAAACTGTTTTGTAACAGTGCTGCCTATATTCATTATTAAACATGGGAAACAACCTCAGCTACATTAATTAGGATAGTAATTATTCTCCACATTTAAAAATGTTTTAATATATAGGCACAAATCTTGCATCTAACCATTTGTTTGTATATGTGTATAGTTTTTCAGCTAAGAACTGGGGAAGGAAAAGAAGACAAGAGACTCCATAATTTCTTTTTAATTGATTTCCACTTGTTTTCCCCTAAAAAAAATATGTTTATGTGATATATCTTAACTACCTGCTTTGAGGTTAAGCAAGGGCAATTCAGAATTAAGTTAGTTATGATACCCACAGGACACTAATGATCTAGCAAGTGTCTTTGTGCAGCATGTTAAGCTTAGTCTTGTAGCTTGGTGAATTGTGCAAACCCAGCTCACTTCATTAGTTTACAATTCAATGTACTGTATGAATTCATTAACTGGGGTTAATTCCAGACTCGATGCAAACAGATGAGAAGAGGGAAGATGATCTTAGTGGTATAAAAATTCAACACATTTGCCTTTCTTTCCTTTCAAAAAATCACTTACAGATTGCTTTTTGCAAAAAAAAAAAAGTTGACACTATGCTCCCTTACATTTCAATTTAGTTTTGTTGCTCTTTCCTTCTGTGGTGAACTACCAAAAACACCTGTGTGAATATCTAAACTCAAGCTCCTCTGTGCCACTAAATGCAGTACAATTGCATTTGCTCCGTGCTTCTCCAGTCTGAAATAAGGAAATAACTTCCCTAAATAATGCATGGCATACTTTCTATGTATAAAAGCTTTTTACAGGTAGTCCTCAGTTAACAATCACTACTTCAGCAAGGCATTGTTAGAAAAACTCACACTAAGGTAGAAGTCAAACAGCAGCAACAACAATTTGGAAGCCGGAAATAACATTTTTTTCCCCAAATGTTGGCCCAAAATGTTATGAAATAAAGAGATTGTATCTTTTTAAAAATGTAATTTAGTCTATGAACTAAAAAGGCCATACATTAATAAAAGGACTAAGTAAATATCATATTAGATCAGACAATGATACTAGTTTGCCCCATATCCTTCCTGGAGAATAGTATTTAACCTTTCTGTCAACTGCTTTTTCATATCCATCTGGTTTCAATTCCATAAATATCTAAGCTTGGTCAAATAGCGATGAGATTCTGACTAATAGTCTAATTTTCTGGTATCCTGACTTTTCATCAAGTATGGCTGGCATCTTCAGAGGCAAAGGAATCTATTCCACAGGCTATGATCAGGAACTAAGTTCTTATATTTGTAAGCAAACTAATCTCTAATTGAACCAAGTCACTAGAATTCTAAAAAAATCAGATTTCTGATTGCCTCTGTCCAGGTGAATTATTAATTGGTCTGATTTAAAGAAGTGCCAGTGAAGCTAATTTTTAATGGTCTGTCTTTGAAACGACCTATAGGCAGTCCTCAAATTATGACAGCAATTGGGTCCAGAATTTCCATTACTGAGTGATGTAGTCCCAATTACCACCATTAACCAAATCCCATGGTTGTTAGGCAGGCAAAGTCAGTGGGGAAACCAGCAAGAAGTTGCAGTCTCAGGCCAGAGACAGGTAAGTGGCTTCTTCTAGGTGAGGGAGTGAGGGGGTGAAGTCTGAAGGATGCCTAAGGATCCACAAGACACACAACGTAAGTTGGGCAGGGTGGATAAGGATGTGGTGTGCACTGAGAAGAGTAGATGGGGTTGCAAGGCAGTAGTGGGATCCTACCTCAGTCGCTACCGGTTCGGTGGGTGATCATGCATACATGCACACACACATGTGTACCCCTAATGTGTGCACCCCTAACAAGCCAATCAGCTGAGAGGATGAAGAAATGAAAAGCTAGGAGCATTTCCATGCGCTTTTCGGTCTTTTATCCTCCCATGCGCTTTTCAGTCTTTTATCCTCTCAGCTGATCAGGCTTGTTTTCCTCCTCTCAGCTGATCATTCGGCTGAACCAAGCTGAACCGGTAGCATACCACCACTAGTGCAAGGTGACTGACAGTGCAGCACAAGTGCAGAGAGACCAGGGGAAGATGGATGGGTGAGAGAGGCTTATCCCAATGCAATTTCCTTTGTAGGCTTCCCTTTTCTAGAGAAGCCAGCACCAAAGGATGAAAATGGTGATCGTGTGACTGTAAGGTGCTGCAATTGGTCATATGTGTGAATCGATTGCCAATCTCCCAGATCGCAATCACAAGACTGCAAGAGTGTTGTGAAGGTCAGAACTCCAAGGATCGTTCATAAATACTATTTGTTCAGCACTGTTGTATCTTTGAACATAGTTGGGTCATAGGTCAAAGACTAATTGTACTACTATTCATTCAGGTATGACTGCTGAAGATTCTTTATAATGTTGATTAATTAAGGGCCTGTTCTATCTTGATGTGACATAGAACTATGAATTCTAGTGATGTGATGGTGTATGTATCTGCACTAATACATTTAGACTTTGTGTTTGGAATTAAAGTATAATAGCATTATTACTTACAGGGCTATCTATAATTCTGTTCCTGCAGCTCTTACAGTATAATGTTTATAACCTAAAATAAAAATGCATCTAATATAAAAATAAATGCAAATTTAATATATGAAAATGACATATGCATTACTTACATTGGAATCATTGATTACTTCTGAAATAGTATTAAGCATTCCTTGCCAGATCCTGGAAAGGTCCCGGAGGTTGAACACATAATGGAATTTGGCTGGAGTTGGCAGCATTTTGATCTTGGTCATTTGCCACAACCGCCGGGTCAATGGGACTAGCTTAGCAACTGTTGCTCTCACTTCTTCCAAAAAGCCTCTTTGGCTACAATAATGCCCTGTGCCAATCACACCTGGAGAATTCAAGTTAGATAATCTAAGAAAATCCATCCATTTCCACATCTTACCTATACCACTGTGAACAACATCATCCAGTCACATTCAGATTGTTAACTGAGAGCAGCGTAAAAACATTTTAAGTAAATTTAACAAATACAAAAAAATATTAATTAAAAGATCATATTGTGATACCTAGCGAATGAATGCACTTGTTTAAAACTGCCTGAAAAACATAATTTGCCCAAACACACAAACCAATACTAAGGTTAGGCATGGCATAGAGGGATTAAAAGAAGAAGAAAAACCCCACTGAATTCCTCATGTAATCTCCACCAATGTACATTGTTAAAAATAGAATCTTCTTCTTCTTTTTCTTCAGTGTTTGTCTCGCGCTCTGGCGAGGTCCGCTAATGTCCTTGAGTACTGCTTCCACGCCTCTCTGTCTGCCACGTATGTCGGGTCTGCCTTCGCGATCTCTAGATCGGCCTTGATCGTGTCCATCCAGCGTTGCTTAGGTCTACCACGCGGTCTCGCTCCTCCGACAATCACCTTCATCACAGATTTGATGATGGATTCTTCCTTGGCGCGACTCACATGGCTGAACCATCGTAGCCGGGACTGCCTCATGACCATGGGGATGGGCACGACGTTGAACCGTCTGCGCACTTCTTCATTCCTGACGCGATCGAGTAGGGTGAGGCCTACCGACCATCGGAGCATTTGCATCTCCATTGTCTGGAGTCTGCTTTCGACTTCTTTGGTCGTCGGCCAGCACTCTGTGCCGTATATGGCCACGGGGCGCACCACAGAGTTATAGATTTTCGCCTTCAGGCGCATCGGCATCTTCTTGTCACAGAGGACGCCCGTGACGGACTTCCATTTGCCCCACGCTGCATTGATCCTGGCTGCCACCTCAGTTTGTAGTAGGCCTTCTTCCCCAAGAGTAGTTCCCAGGTACTTGAAGGTGGAGGCGCGCGGTAGCTCCTGCCCGTTCACGTGGATGGAACCTGTCATTTCGTTGTCAGTGGTCAGGTATTCGGACTTCTTTAGGTTCAACCGGAGCCCGAACTGCTCGAGGCAGTCGTGCCACTGTTGGACTAGGTGCTCAAGTTCAGCCTTGCGCAGGTTGGCCAGGAACACATCATCGGCGTAGAGCAGCGTCCATGGGGCGGGCGTGTGCAGGTCATGTGTAATTGTGTCCATCACCAGAATGAACAGCAGTGGTGAGAGAGCAGAGCCCTGGTGTACGCCGACGGTGATATTGAACTCCTCTGATATCCCAGCTGCTGCTTTTACACGGCTTTTGTGACATCTGTATAGGAGTTGGACCCATTGTACGAGTAGCTCGGGCACGCCGTGATCTCGCAGTGCGTACCAGATGAGATCATGCGGGACTCGGTCGAAGGCCTTTTCCAAGTCCAAGAAGGCGGTGTGGAGCGGGATTTTCTTCTCTCTGTGAGCCTCCATCAGCATCCGCACACCGAAGATGGCATCGGTGGTGCCGCAGTTCTTGATGAATCCGGCCTGGTTGACGCTGATGTCGACGATGTCCCGAATGCGCTTATCGAGGACGCGTTCGAAGATCTTCATAGTGTGTGACAGTAACCTGACCGGTCTGTAGTTGGAGCAGTCCGCTGGGCTGCCCTTTCCCTTCCAGATCGGAACAGTGGTGCTGCGGTACCAGTCGTGTGGCACTATTCCCGTGGAGACGATGTTGTTGAACAGCTCGCACAGCCACAATGCCGAGCCCGGTAGTGCCTTTTTCCAGAAGTCGGCAGGGATGTCGTCTGGTCCTGTTGCCTTACCGTTTTTCATGGCCTTGATGGCATCGGTGACCTCGCTGGCGTGAATGCCTGAGACTGGGCCTTCGACGGGGTCACCTCGCGGGGTTCGTGGGTGTGGGAACTCCTCGGTGGAGATCTTCTCGAAGTATTGCCGCCACCTCTCGGCAGCGTCTCTGGGGTTGACGATCAAATTTCCCCTTTCGTCGTTGATCCCATGAAACTGGTCAATGTCCAGGGTCTTCCTGTGTCTGCTTTTGGCTAGGCGGTAGATCTCATTCTCGCCTTCTCGCGTGTTCAGCTTCTCGTAGATGTCGTCGTAGTGGGAGCTTCTGGCTGTTGCTACTGCTTTCTTGGCTGCCTTTTTGGCCGCCTTGTACTCGCAGAGCTTCTCGCTGGTCTTGTCCTGAAGAAAGGCCTTGTAGAGCCGTTTCTTCAGGTGCACGGCATCTTGTACTTCCGGTGTCCAGAGCCATGTATCTCGTTCGATGCGTCTCCGTCCTGGCTTGATACAACCAAGCTGTTGGCAGCCGGCAGTGTGAACAGTGCTCTTCAGCATGGTCCACGCTTCCTGTGGCCCGTCGACCATCTGCAGGAACTGCTCCGGTTTGATGAGGGGTCCCGCCATCTTCTTCTGGTTCCACCACTTGATTCGTGGCTGGTCTGCATTCTTTTTGTCAATCTTGGTCTTGGGCTTGCTGATCCTGATCTTCGCCATCAGCGGCCTGTGCTGACTGCTCGATTCATACGGGTACACCTTGGCGTTGAGCACGTTTTTAGCAGCTCTTCGTCGTACGATGATGTAGTCGATCTGTGTGTGGTGGTTCCCATTTCTGCTATGGTAGGTGAGGAGTTGGGGTTCTCGCCTAATGAAGCAGGTGTTCGTGATGGTCATATCATGGGAGTCGGCAAAGTCCAGGATCCTCTGGCCATTCTCATTCATATCGCCTGTGCCGTGCCCACCGTGGCACTGGTGTCCGTTTTTGTCCCGCCCTACATGACCATTCAGGTCGCCAGAGATGATGATGTCGTCTTCATATGGGATCTGCCTGAGTTGGATGTCGAGCAGTTCCCAGAAGGTATCCTTCTCCTCCTCGTGACATCCGGTCTGAGGGGCGTAGGCGGACAAGATGTGTAGGCGCTGCCTCTCGGTCGCTACGACGATTATCATCAGTCGTTCTGTGGGGCGCTTAACTTCTGCAACGGAGCTTTGCCAGCTGGGACTGACAACCACAGCTACACCGCCGCGGTTTTCCTTACAGCTGGTGTATATGATCTTATAGCCATCTATAGTCGTAGCCTTGTTGCCCTTCCAGCGAGTTTCCTGGAGGCAGCAGATGTCCAGCTTCCTGTCCCGCATTGCCCTGACGATCTCGGTCGAGCGTCCAGTCAGCGAATCCACGTTCCAGGTGGCCACCTTGATCCCAGGAAATCTATCTTAATATACATTTCCCAAATCACTGATCTCCCCTATCAACTCATTTCTTTAGTTTAATGAAGCTAACCTTTTTTTTATTCACACTTTTTACAGTTAGGTTTCTGTGGTTTTGTGGGGGGGTGGGGTTTCTCTCTCTTTTGTTTTGCCACTGTTTTGAAAATGACGACAGACATTAGCAATAGAATACTAATGCTGCAATTTTAAATGCATCTGCTCATGCAGTGGAAGATATTATTTACAGCTCCTCTCAAATTTTTCACTTCTTTTAGCTCTTCAAAGCAAAACAACACTAAGGGCTACCTATTGAGCAACAAGACTAAATAACCACCCCGTTTTACCAAAAATCTTGTCAATGGATGGGTTAGAAGGCAAGGTGCAATTAAACACAGAAAACTGCCTCTTCAGTCTCTGAGGAATGTCATTTCGTCCACCACCAGGGTGTATCATGGCAGCCAAAAATTGGATATCCACAATGTTGGTGAACTCTCCAGGCTTCTCCAAATTATAAAACCCATTTTGCTCCATCAGTTGCCTAACAATCTCATTAGTGACCTGCAAGAAAGTTTTCAAGGATTAAAAACAGCCAATTGACTATTTTTGCAGACATCTACGTTTACGCAACAAATTATATACATAAAACAGAATGGATTTTAATGTCTCTTCTGTCCACCATAAACTTTCTAATTGATAATCCTATATTTTTTCCAGTGTGGTTTTTTTTTATCTCTATGTCTAGACCCAGCTGTCTTCCATTCTTTAAGAACAAATTGGTGTAACCATACCCCAGTTCCAGCAGAGATATAACAGACGCAGCTCCTACCATTTCTAATCCTGATTCGACAGGTTCTGACCAGAAATTGGCGGCAAGAACATTCGGTTCTCAAGAAGGCCAGCAACAGAATGTAGCAAACCAGAAGGCAGCAATAAAGAGATGGTGATCTCCCACCCTATCCTTACCTCAAGAGGTTCCATGGAACTGATCTAGTCATTAATTCCTGGGTCTTTGCCACAGTCATCAGCTCTGCTTTTACAAAGCCATTTTCAGTTTCACATAACTCTCCCCTTTCCACTTGTAAAAGTTATAAAGGACCCCAAAAGAGCATTTGTTTGTATGGATTTATCTTTTTTTACCAAATTAAAAATAAAATGGCAATTTGCTGCCACTATCGCTTCTCATGTTTGGCTGTGATTTTAATATTGCATTGTTTTTCAAACCTACGCTGGAAAATAATTTTAATTTTTTACAGATTCCTGAGAAGTTTTTGGGTGATCCCCAGGGATCCTAGGACCATATTTTAACATTGTGCTCGACAAAGTGTAAAACTTGATGTACAGTACTACAAGCAAGCATAATCAGAAGTGGATGTACTGGTTTATGACCAACCTATCTGCTGCTGAAACCAGTCAGTCATTGGATTTGTATGCTGCCTAATCTATTCACACTCACAATGACTTACAACGATACAGTTAGTTAAAACACTCATGGTAAACTATAGTAAATATAATTGATTAATTAATCCATTAAATCCATAACAAAATCATATAATTAAATAATAATCCTGCTATTCTTTAGTTTGCATATAGAAAAAGGCCTTCAACCACTAAAGGCCCTATGGAATAATGTGTTTTTTATCATCCTCCTGAAGATCACCTTGGGGCCCAATTTGGAATAGTCAAAAACTTTTCCTGAGATGAATATATTAGATGAATCAAGGAAGTTAGGTTATAAAACACTTTTTTTCTATTTGGTTTTCACTGATTACAAAATACAATCTATTTTGACCAGACGCTATATATCTATTTGGGTTTAAAAATGAGTTCTGTTTAATGCAGCGCACATCCCACTTGTATCATTCCTGGATGGCTCTACATCTTCATGAATACCTGTTATTGCCCCCGTTAAGCAACACAGTCAATGATCCTGCTATAAAATTGAGGGATGCAATTTCTCAATGGCATGGCTCCCGCTTCATCAAATATTTTTGGGTTGTCTCCATCTCTGTAGCTGGTAAATTGCTATACTGCCACAGTAGTTTCACATTAATCTTCTAAGATGGGACAGAAAGGCAATTTTGATGCTTACTCTCATGTGTTGTTTTTTTTTCATTTCAAATTGCCACATAAAACTTCAAAATGAAGAAAGGATAGGATTAGAGTAGGGCACTGGCTGGGTTTATGCTCTCCATTATTGGTCAGATAATTAGAAGCAGTACCAGTTAGTTATAAAAAGATGCAGGCATAAGAAGTTAGGTCAAACATGAATCTTTCTGAAATTATTCTGAGGGATTGTAAGCGAAGGATATATGTAGACGTACTGAATAACTATGCCTATAAAAGCCCATGAGTAGTATTCTATTGTCATAAAGGCAGAAACACAAGTCGCAGTGAGAAACTTTGTGATTCTTCTTAAGCCTTAGCAAACTATCCAAATTAATCCGAGATGTTTGTCATTCAGAATAAAATCAGAAGTTACTCTCCACTGACATATAAGGAACTCATGCATTATTTAATTGTTCTCCAATATTAACATATCTGAGCAAACCCGTAATCTTGATCTTAACTACTTCTCGAAATCAAAATGTTTCACTGAGCAATGTAAAGAATTGATGCAAGTACACCTGACCTGATCTCCCCATTCATTGATTACAGGCATATTCACATCATCTATGAAAACCGTCATTTTCTTTCCTGCAGGAGGACCATATGTTGTGCCCATGCGCTTGTCCACATAGCTTTCTATTGTGCGCTGCAAGAAACACAGGAGTTCATAAAATAACTTACTGTAAGCTTCATTTTATAATCACTAAAGGAAAGGTGGTGTGTTCTGCAAACTGTCTGCTTAGAACTAAAGAATTCCAAGCAACTGTAAGAAGAAATGTGACATACAATTAAAAAATCCTTAAGTCAATAAATCCTTCAATATTGAGACTCCAATTAAAAAAATATATATTCCTGGCCAATTTGGGTATTAAAAGTCATCCTTGCTTCAAAGGGTTGAACAGAACATCCCATATTCCAAAAATGAAGGGAACGAAGAGAAAGGAATTTTGCCATTACCTGCTCTGAAAGAAGAAAAGAAGACACAACATAAAATCTCTTCTGCCAGAAAAGATTGTAGTGATAAATGATTCTCAAGTGGCACACAAACATCAAGGAATACTAACTTACACTACATACTGCACTCTTCTGCTGATTTTGGCAGAGTGGTTATTAGTATCAAGATATTTACTTAGAAAATAAATCATTCCCATTTAAGTCAATATGAGAAACATCTTACAGAGGTCTATGCTATTCCGTTCCAGAGATGATAGTGTGACCTTTTTCTATTATATCAGTGCCTGAATGTTCAGTCAGCATATCTAAGGCAGAATTAGAATTGAAATATAGAACTGCACTCTAAAGCTGCAATCCCCAAATTATTTGGGAGATATCTATTCCAACTCGATTCAATTCATTTTACAGTAAACATACAGGTAGTCCTCAATTGACAACAGTTTATTTCGTGACCATTCAAAATCACAACAGCACTGAAAAAAGTGATGTATGACCATTTTTCACACTTGAGAGCTTTGTAGCCTCCCCGTGATCATGTGATCAAAATTCCGATTCCTGGAAACTGTTTCATATGTTGCTGTGTCCCAAGGTCATGTGATCACTTACTGTATTACAACCTTTTGACAAGCAAAATCAACGGAGAAGCTAGATTAATTTAACAATCGTGTTACTGCAGTGATTCACTTAACAAACGTGGCAAGAAAAGATCATAAAATGGGACAAAACTCACTTAACGAATGTCTCAATTAACAACAGAAATTTTGGGGTCAATTGGAGTCCCAATTGAGGTAACATATAATTGTACTGCATGTGTATTTTTGCAGACAAAAGTATAAATAAAAGTATAATTTTTTGAAATATTGCATTACGGATTTGGCCAAAGTATGATTTCTGAAAGACTTCTATCTATTTTGAATATCTTTCACATAATGCACTTCATTATTTAGTGCGCATATGGGTTAAGGAGATGGACAAGATGTTATTTTGTTAAATGTGACAATAAAGCTGAAGGAGTCTGACAAAATGAAAACCTTGTACAAGGTTCAAAATACCAAAATTAGATTAAATTTAGTATATGAACAAGGAATAGTTTCTCCAAAAAAATGACCAATTTATTACTAAAGTCAAAAGAACCACCAAAAATAGCAATCAGTGAACATTTGAATCTCTATTACTTATTCAAATATTTTTGATTAATTTTTATTCTGGTATATTTTCAATGAATTACAAAGTTACCTCTGTTTTTGTAGGAAAGAAAAAAAAATGCTAAGTTTCACCTGAAACATCAAAGGAGTGGTTGCTGATGAAAAGTTAAGGCTCTTAGCCATGTGATTTTCAGGATTATATTTTGACATGTATCCTTTGATGATGACAGTCTTAGCAGTCCCTTGTTCGCCAATTAGCAGAACAGCCTGAAGATGAAAAGAGAATTCAAATGATTTTAGGGATATGAGAGTCCAAGGTAGTGATAAAGGCTCAGATCTCAAAACTGTTTCAAATAATGAAGAAATAGATCACTCTTTGCAGCATGGTGTATCCATAACCAAAATAAAATTAGTTCTACCAACAATATTAACATTGTAACACAAAAATAGGTTTTGTGACTTTAATAAACAAACCATTTGTTACTTTCTTCATGTGGAAAATGGATTAGAACATTTACAGATTCTTACTGGTAGAACCATTTTAATCTTGAAGTGAAGCAAAACCACCAGGACAGTCTGGACAAAATTTAAAAATTAAAGATCAAAACACAAATAATGCAGCATCCCGAAAGTTAAAAGACAGATTACAGTGAACTTCAAAAGGGCAAATAGAATAATTCCAAAAAGTTGCATTGAATGGGAACATTCAAACTGCTAGTGAGCTTCAAAGATTTCTTTATGGCTGTAGACCAGGGTGTCAAACTTGATTTCATTGAGGGCCACATCAGGGTTCTGTTTGACCTCGGGGGGCTGGGGTGGGCGTGGCCAGGATGGCCAGGGCCAGTTTGACATCACTCGTGTCGGGAGCCCCTGTGGTGGCAAAGTGCTAAGGCGGGACTTCCCTCGGACCCTCACTCACTTTCATTATAATCTCCTTCTTTCTTTCTTTCTTTC